AAAACACCTGTTTATTAATAAACAATTAAATGTCTCCTTGCTATTTTTGACACATTAATAATCATTACTTTCGCCGGTTCTTTGTGGCAAGGTTTATGAGTGCGGGCGTGCGCTTGAGTGCGGCTATATTAGGCTACGTAAACGCTCATCCTGTAGCCTATTTAAGTAATTAAATCAATATAAAGAGGGGCGATGTGTCCACAGTGGCTAAAATGAACAACTACTAATCGACTAGAAGAAAACTTTAGTCGGAGGCAGCCCTTATTCCGCATATTTTCGAACCAGCAGGCCATTCAGGGTTGAGCGCGCGACCCTGAGCGGAATGAGCGAGCGGAGGGATTCAGAAATGCGCTCTCCGCTCACATGCTCTGATCGGAACAAACTAAGCATGACAAATTCAAACTTTATTTCATTTTCTCCGTAGCTTGAACACTCAAACACAGCATGTCTATTTTCATTTTTCCCCCCACAATTTTTAGTACAATATTATGTTAGTCCACAGCCCCCACCAAGGGGGCTGTGGCTATGACGAGGGGGGCTGCAGCCCCCGCAGCACCCCCCTTCCCGCGCTACTGGGCAGGAGCCATCTTTGAAAAACAGTCGAACCACTTGGGCAAGACAGGAGACCTCTGTTGAATGTGCGTGACCTGCGAGCCCTCAGATGGCACTGCATGAGAAAGTCAAAGTATCTTTATTTGTCTCCCCGAGGAGAAATTAGTTTTGGATATAAAGAGATTGCTGCAAACAGATTACAACAAGACAGAACAGAGGTACAGGGTTAAAACAGTTAAAAGACAAAAGTACATAAAACATTAAGGCTACACAAAGAGCTGTGCAAATAGCAAATCACCAAATAGCAAGAAACCGTCATGCTACTTTGTTAAATGCAGACACATGTGCTCAAGAGTACTTTGGAAACGCGTTTTCACTTAACACAGTCTGACACTGCATCAAGAAATGCCACTTGAATCTCTGTTACGCAAGGATAAAGCTATACAACGGTTCTAAGCAGAGACTCCGGCGAGTTCTCTGGGCCGAGCTCATCTCAGATGGTCTAGAGAAGACAGTGTAAATGTGTGCTGTGGTCAGATGAGTCCATGTTTCAGCTTGTTTTGGGGGAAAACAGACAGAGTTCTCCATCCCAAAGACAAAGGGACCAACCAGACTCTCATCAGTGACCGGTGCAAAAGCAAACATCTGTCATGGTATTGAGGGGCATCAGTGCAAACGGCATGGGTGACTTGCATTTGAGTGAAGGTCTGACATGGAGGCGTATATTTAGATTATACAGAGACATAAACTGCCATCACGATTACATCTTTCCTGGAGATAGACAATGCCAGGCCTCATTCTGCACATGCTAAAACTGAGTGGTTTCTAGACACTGCACCATAGAAGAGATATGCCTGATGCCTCTGCAGTCCAGGGGCCTCATGTACAAAGACTTGCGTTGAATTCATACTAAAACATTGCGTACGCACAAAAAAAAAGCAGATGAATGAATCTCTGCGTACGAAGGATCCCACACATATTCTCTTTGTACATCCCAATTAACATAAAATTGAGCGCACATGCACGAGCACAACGCCCCACCCAGTCTCCTCCCCCAATTAAATTAATTTAAATATGGTAATTAGTCCAATTTGGCAAAAGAAACCTGCAAGAACATGGCTAAAGCAAGCAAGAAACGAAATTTCACTGAAAATCTCTTCTATGTGAATATATAGTAAAGTGTAATTTATTCCTGTGATCAAAGCTGAATTTTCAGCATCATTACTCCAGTCTTCAGTGTCACATGATCCTTCAGAAATCATTGTACTATAATGATTTGATGATCAAGAAACATTTATGATTATTATCAGTGTTGAAAACAGCTGTGCTTCTGCTTCATATTTTCGTGGAAACCATGATATAGGCTAGTATTTTCAGGATTCTTTAATTAATAAAAACTTAAATCAAACAGATGTCGAAATCTTATAATCTTTTGTAACATTATAAATGCATTTACTGTCACTTTTACTTGTCACTTCAATGTGTCCTTGCTGAATAAAAATATTACTTTCTTTTTTATCTTTACTGACCGAATTAATGAAGTTTATTTTTTTTAGTTAAGCCAACGCTGCCATTGCTAGACGGGTTGTATCAATTTGGACATGCTTTATATATGTTCTTACTTAATTGCATAATATAATATTTTAATAAAATTCGTGTGACAATAATATGTCAAATAATTTATCAATTACAAATTATATAGAACAATAGAACAATTCGTAGTGTAATAGAACAATTCGTAGTGTAATGTTTGCCACTTCACTTTATTGCCTCTATGAGTCGCCAACGGACAAAAATCACGACAAATATACGTACGCCAGACATGAAGTTTACTTGGAGGAACGCACATTCTTACGTTAATTTCACTGTTAGTACATCTGGCCGTGAACGTGAAAGCTGACGTACGCCGTGTTTTTGTGCGTACGCAGTGTTGATACATGAGGCCCCAGATCTGTCTCAATGAAAATCTATGACCTATCATGAAAAGGAGAATAAGGCAACGATGACCACGGTCTGTTGAGCTGTTCTTATATCGGACAAGATTGGGAAAATATTCCACTTGCAACATTTTAACAAGTAGTATCCTCAATTCCCAAATGATTAAAAAGTGTAATTAAAAGGAAAGGTGATGTGACACAGTGGTAAACATGCCTCTGCCCTAACTTATTTGGAGTGTGTAGCAGCCATCACAATCAAAACCTGTTTATATTTACAAAATACAATTAAGTTGGTCAGTCAATACATTGGAAATATTTTTTTTGGTACATTTGTCAGTTAAATAAAGGTTCAAGAGATTAAACAAATCACAGATTCATGATTTTATTGCATTTTACACAATGTCCCCACTATTCTGGAAATGGGGTTGTATAATAAACCTGCTCTGTCACTCCTCTGTTTCTGAATTCTTTTTTGATGAAATTCTGTAGACAAGAAAACACAAACACTCCCTATACATTTTAAACACATAAAATCTCTTATTAGTTCCAAAATATTTTATCAACTCAAGGCTGTAATTGTAAACCCTAAAATCATGCAATTATGAATGGGATACGCACAGCATTATTCATGCAACCAATCATGTGAGAGCATAGGTGGGATTTTTCGTTTTAGTTTATTGGAACTCGGTGTAATGATCTATTGATCAGTATATGAATGCTGGAATAGGAAGATCAAGAGCAGAAATGGTACAGGGAATGCCAGGCTGCCCCAGTCTGGAATGATTGACAGCTCACTGCTAACCTGGCTCTTGTTGACTTCACATACCTCCATTTAATCAATTCTTGTATTATAAATGAAGGTATGTTACTGTCCATATCTGTCCACAAACACTGATGAATTAGTAAACTATAGACAAATATGGTTGTGTTGCACGATTGGAAAAATGTTAACATTGAAATTCAAAGTTGGCTGATGAACGGAAATCCAGATTGTTTTCATGAATTACAGTATATTGTTAGCGAGTATATGGCCACATTTTCAATACTTCTTTTACCTTTAATGTTGAGCAGATTATATGGACCACTATCATTCTGCATCAAAGAAGCTTTCATTTCATCATCACCACTGTATTTTTTTTTTTTTAACCATTTAACTTTTATACTTTCTATAACACATATATAACAAAGTGGTCACCATGATTTTGCCAAGTAAGACATGGTCCTGGATCAACATTCCTGTTCCAAAATGTAGACCTTACCCAATCCCTACCCCTAAACCAATCCCTACCCCTAAACCAAACCCTACCCATAACTTTTCCCTAAAATCATAGGGTAATGATAGGTGAATAACTCTGATGTTTAAGTACTTCACCCTGGTTCTAAGCCTAAACTTGACATAAACTGTAAACTTGTCCCTCAAATCTGATTGGTTGATTGGAAAGTTGATCCAGGATCAACAAAGATGTTGATCCAGGAACATGTGGTACTTGGTGAAATCACGTTCACCATAACAAACTAGTTGATTTTTCTGGCAATAATTGCTTTTACTTAGCAATAGATATTACAATCTATTAAATCATTTATTAAATCATTTTCAGACCTCATGCAGGGAAAATCTCAAAATCTGTGATCAGTGCAAGGAATTATAACATTTCTGTGAAAAATAATTTATTACCCAGCAACAGCAGTAATTTTACAAAAATAAAGCAAATTTGTACAATCATTATTTTACATTACTCTGAAACAATAATCAAGTCAAGATTATGACCATAAAAAGCCATTATTACTAGATACAGCAAATAAATTCCTTCACACATAAAAATAATATATAAGTTAAAATCTTTTTTTGTGTGTGTGTGTGTGTGTGTGTGTAATGTGGACAATAAATATTACCCCCCAAAATAATTTAAACTACAGGTAATTATTTGTGGAAATAGAAGATGGTAGGCTCTCGGGAGTGAAATAAGCAACATCATCAAGAAACAGCGCAGACCCGAGGCCCTGGACTTGGATCTTTAATTTTTCTGCAAGTAGAAGAAATGATATGGCTCAGTGCTTAATATAACGATACAAACCATACAATTAAAATTTATATAATCTGCCAAAAGTGAAAAAGAAATAAGCATACAGGTTATTAAATGTTTGTTTACCTGAGCTGTGGATCCATGGATAATTATTCTTGAAAAGAAAATGGATAATCAACTTGATTAATGAATGAATGATCACTTATAAAACAACACATATTTATTGATAAGTCTTCCCTTATTTAGATGTCAATTAACAAAGGGAGTCAATCTAACAATATTAATAATGTATTAGCTTAAAAGAATAAACCTGCATTACAATGATTTACATGAAACAGTTTGTCAGTATTATGCTTAACATAATTTGGCTGAATGTCAGAAATTGTATGTAAAATATTAGCTTTTTCCTAATTTGAAAGTTTTCCTTGCCACTGTTGCCTTTGTCACTATAGCTTTGAATTGTACTATTGCATTGTGGTTGTGTTACCTGGGGTTGCTTTGTCTGTTGTCGTACTTTGTGTTGTGGTGCCCAGTGTTGTGGTCTCATTTGTGGTGCTTTCTGTTGCTGTGGTGCTTTCTGTTGTTGTTGTGCCTGTGGCCGTTATTTCTGTTGTTGTAGTGGCCAAAGTTGTGATGCTTTCTACGGTTGTGGTCTCGGCTGTTGTACTTTCTGGAGTTGTTGTGGCTGGGGTTGTACTTTCTTTTGTAGTAGTACCTACAGTTGTGGTCTCAGGGGTGGTGCTTTCTGCTGTTGTGATCTCGCTTGTTGTACTTTCCGCTGTTGTGGTACCCAGAGTTGTGGTGCTTTCTGCTGTTGTGGTACCCACAGTTGTGGTGCTCTCTGCTGTTGTGGTCTCTGTTGTTGTACTTTCTGGAGTTGTTGTGGCTGCGGTTGTACTTTCTGTTGTAGTAGTACCTACAGTTGTGGTTTCAGGGGTGGTGATTTCTGTTGTTGTGATCTCGCTTGTGGTACTTTCCGCTGTTGTGGTACCCACAGTTGTGGTACTTTCTGCTGTTGTGATCTCGCTTGTGGTGCTTTCTGCTGTTGTGGTCTCGGTTGTTGTACTTTCTGGAGTTGTTGTGGATGTGGTTGTACTTTCTGTTGTAGAAGTACCTACTGTTGTGGTTTCTGGGGTGGTGCTTTCTGTTGTTGTGATCTCGCTTGTGGTACTTTCCGCTGTTGTGGTACCCACAGTTGTGGTACTTTCAGCTGTTGTGATCTCGCTTGTTGTACTTTCCGCTGTTGTGGTACCCACAGTTGTGGTGCTATCTGCTGTTGTGGTCTCGGTTGTTGTACTTTCTGGAGTTGTTGTGGCTGTGGTTGTACTTTCTGTTGTAGAAGTACCTACTGTTGTGGTTTCGGGGGTGGTGCTTTCTGTTGTTGTGATCTCGCTTGTGGTACTTTCCCCTGTTGTGGTACCCACAGTTGTGGTGCTCTCTGCTGTTGTGGTCTCAGTTGTTGTACTTTCGGGAGTTGTTGTGGCTGTGGTTGTACTTTCTGCTGTTGTAGTCTCACTTGTGGTACTTTCTGTTGCTGTGGTGCTTTCTGTTGTTGTAGTACCATCAGTTGTGGTCTCAGGTGTGGTACTTTCTGCTGTTGTGGTACCCACAGTTGTGGTGCTCTCAGCTGTTGTGGTCTCAGTTGTTGTACTTCCTGGAGTTGTTGTGGCTGTGGTTGTACTTTCTGTTGTAGTAGTACCCACAGTTGTTGTGCTTTCTGTTGTTGTGATCTCGATTGTGGTACTTTCCGCTGTCGTGGTACCAACAGTTGTGGTGCTTTCTGCTGTCGTGATCTCGCTTGTGGTACTTTCCGCTGTTGTGGTACCCACAGATGTGGTGCTCTCTGCTGTTGTGGTCTCTGTTGTTGTACTTTCTGGAGTTGTTGTGGCTGCGGTTGTACTTTCTGTTGTAGTAGTACCTACAGTTGTGGTTTCAGGGGTGGTGATTTCTGTTGTTGTGATCTCGCTTGTGGTACTTTCCGCTGTTGTGGTACCCACAGTTGTGGTGCTTTCTGCTGTTGTGATCTCGCTTGTGGTACTTTCCGCTGTTGTGGTACCCACAGTTGTGGTGCTCTCTGCTGTTGTGGTCTCTGTTGTTGTACTTTCTGGAGTTGTTGTGGCTATGGTTGTACTTTCAGTTGTAGAAGTACCTACAGTTGTGGTTTCAGGGGTGGTGCTTTCTGTTGTTGTGATCTCGCTTGTGGTACTTTCCGCTGTTGTGGTACCCACAGTTGTTGTGCTTTCTGCTGTTGTGATCTCGCTTGTAGTACTTTCCACTGTTGTGCTACCCACAGTTGTGGTGCTCTCTGCTGTTGTGGTCTCGGTTGTTGTACTTTCTGGAGTTGTTGTGGCTGTGGTTGTACTTTCTGTTGTAGAAGTACCTACTGTTGTGGTTTCAGGGGTGGTGCTTTCTGTTGTTGTGATCTCGATTGTGGTACTTTCCGCTGTCGTGGTACCAACAGTTGTGGTGCTTTCTGCTGTCGTGATCTCGCTTGTGGTACTTTCCGCTGTTGTGGTACCCACAGATGTGGTGCTCTCTGCTGTTGTGGTCTCTGTTGTTGTACTTTCTGGAGTTGTTGTGGCTGCGGTTGTACTTTCTGTTGTAGTAGTACCTACAGTTGTGGTTTCAGGGGTGGTGATTTCTGTTATTGTGATCTCGCCTGTGGTACTTTCCGCTGTTGTGGTACCCACAGTTGTGGTGCTCTCGGTTGTTGTACTTTCGGGAGTTGTTGTGGCTGTGGTTGTACTTTCTGCTGTTGTAGTCTCACTTGTGGTACTCTCTGTTGCTGTGGTGCTTTCTATTGTTGTTGTACCATCAGTTGTGGTCTCAGGTGTGGTACTTTCTGCTGTTGTGGTACCCACAGTTGTGGTGCTCTCTGCTGTTGTTGGCTCAGTTGTTGTACTTTCTGGAGTTGTTGTGGCTGTGGTTGTACTTTCTGTTGTAGTAGTACCTACAGTTGTGGTCTCAGGGGTCGTGCTTTCTGTTGTTGTGATCTCGCTTGTTGTACTTTCCGCTGTTGTGGTACCCACAGTTGTGGTGCTTTCTGCTGTTGTGATCTCGCTTGTGGTACTTTCCGCTGTTGTGGTACCCACAGTTGTGGTGCTCTCTGCTGTTGTGGTCTCTGTTGTTGTACTTTCTGGAGTTGTTGTGGCTGTGGTTGTACTTTCAGTTGTAGAAGTACCTACAGTTGTGGTTTCAGGGGTGGTGCTTTCTGTTGTTGTGATCTCGCTTGTGGTACTTTCCGCTGTTGTGGTACCCACAGTTGTTGTGCTTTCTGCTGTTGTGATCTCGCTTGTAGTACTTTCCACTGTTGTGCTACCCACAGTTGTGGTGCTTTCTGCTGTTGTGGTCTCGGTTGTTGTACTTTCTGGAGTTGTTGTGGCTGTGGTTGTACTTTCTGTTGTAGAAGTACCTACTGTTGTGGTTTCAGGGGTGGTGCTTTCTGTTGTTGTGATCTCGATTGTGGTACTTTCCGCTGTCGTGGTACCAACAGTTGTGGTGCTTTCTGCTGTCGTGATCTCGCTTGTGGTACTTTCCGCTGTTGTGGTACCCACAGATGTGGTGCTCTCTGCTGTTGTGGTCTCTGTTGTTGTACTTTCTGGAGTTGTTGTGGCTGCGGTTGTACTTTCTGTTGTAGTAGTACCTACAGTTGTGGTTTCAGGGGTGGTGATTTCTGTTGTTGTGATCTCGCTTGTGGTACTTTCCGCTGTTGTGGTACCCACAGTTGTGGTGCTTTCTGCTGTTGTGATCTCGCTTGTGGTACTTTCCGCTGTTGTGGTACCCACAGTTGTGGTGCTCTCTGCTGTTGTGGTCTCTGTTGTTGTACTTTCTGGAGTTGTTGTGGCTGTGGTTGTACTTTCAGTTGTAGAAGTACCTACAGTTGTGGTTTCAGGGGTGGTGCTTTCTGTTGTTGTGATCTCGCTTGTGGTACTTTCCGCTGTTGTGGTACCCACAGTTGTGGTGCTTTCTGCTGTTGTGGTCTCGGTTGTTGTACTTTCTGGAGTTGTTGTGGCTGTGGTTGTACTTTCTGTTGTAGAAGTACCTACTGTTGTGGTTTCAGGGGTGGTGCTTTCTGTTGTTGTGATCTCGATTGTGGTACTTTCCGCTGTCGTGGTACCAACAGTTGTGGTGCTTTCTGCTGTCGTGATCTCGCTTGTGGTACTTTCCGCTGTTGTGGTACCCACAGATGTGGTGCTCTCTGCTGTTGTGGTCTCTGTTGTTGTACTTTCTGGAGTTGTTGTGGCTGCGGTTGTACTTTCTGTTGTAGTAGTACCTACAGTTGTGGTTTCAGGGGTGGTGATTTCTGTTGTTGTGATCTCGCTTGTGGGACTTTCCGCTGTTGTGGTACCCACAGTTGTGGTGCTTTCTGCTGTTGTGATCTCGCTTGTTGTACTTTCCGCTGTTGTGGTACCCACAGTTGTGGTGCTCTCTGCTGTTGTGGTCTCTGTTGTTGTACTTTCTGGAGTTGTTGTGGCTATGGTTGTACTTTCAGTTGTAGAAGTACCTACAGTTGTGGTTTCAGGGGTGGTGCTTTCTGTTGTTGTGATCTCGCTTGTGGTACTTTCCGCTGTTGTGGTACCCACAGTTGTTGTGCTTTCTGCTGTTGTGATCTCGCTTGTAGTACTTTCCACTGTTGTGCTACCCACAGTTGTGGTGCTCTCTGCTGTTGTGGTCTCGGTTGTTGTACTTTCTGGAGTTGTTGTGGCTGTGGTTGTACTTTCTGTTGTAGAAGTACCTACTGTTGTGGTTTCAGGGGTGGTGCTTTCTGTTGTTGTGATCTCGATTGTGGTACTTTCCGCTGTCGTGGTACCAACAGTTGTGGTGCTTTCTGCTGTCGTGATCTCGCTTGTGGTACTTTCCGCTGTTGTGGTAACCACAGATGTGGTGCTCTCTGCTGTTGTGGTCTCTGTTGTTGTACTTTCTGGAGTTGGTGTGGCTGCGGTTGTACTTTCTGTTGTAGTAGTACCTACAGTTGTGGTTTCAGGGGTGGTGATTTCTGTTATTGTGATCTCGCCTGTGGTACTTTCCGCTGTTGTGGTACCCACAGTTGTGGTGCTCTCGGTTGTTGTACTTTCGGGAGTTGTTGTGGCTGTGGTTGTACTTTCTGCTGTTGTAGTCTCACTTGTGGTACTCTCTGTTGCTGTGGTGCTTTCTATTGTTGTTGTACCATCAGTTGTGGTCTCAGGTGTGGTACTTTCTGCTGTTGTGGTACCCACAGTTGTGGTGCTCTCTGCTGTTGTTGGCTCAGTTGTTGTACTTTCTGGAGTTGTTGTGGCTGTGGTTGTACTTTCTGTTGTAGTAGTACCTACAGTTGTGGTCTCAGGGGTCGTGCTTTCTGTTGTTGTGATCTCGCTTGTGGTACTTTCCGCTGTTGTGGTACCCACAGTTGTGGTGCTTTCTGCTGTTGTGATCTCGCTTGTGGTACTTTCCGCTGTTGTGGTACCCACAGTTGTGGTGCTCTCTGCTGTTGTGGTCTCTGTTGTTGTACTTTCTGGAGTTGTTGTGGCTGTGGTTGTACTTTCTGGAGTTGTTGTGGCTGTGGTTGTACTTTCAGTTGTAGAAGTACCTACAGTTGTGGTTTCAGGGGTGGTGCTTTCTGTTGTTGTGATCTCGCTTGTGGTACTTTCCGCTGTTGTGGTACCCACAGTTGTTGTGCTTTCTGCTGTTGTGATCTCGCTTGTAGTACTTTCCACTGTTGTGCTACCTACAGTTGTGGTGCTTTCTGCTGTTGTGGTCTCGGTTGTTGTACTTTCTGGAGTTGTTGTGGCTGTGGTTGTACTTTCTGTTGTAGAAGTACCTACTGTTGTGGTTTCAGGGGTGGTGCTTTCTGTTGTTGTGATCTCGATTGTGGTACTTTCCGCTGTCGTGGTACCAACAGTTGTGGTGCTTTCTGCTGTCGTGATCTCGCTTGTGGTACTTTCCGCTGTTGTGGTACCCACAGATGTGGTGCTCTCTGCTGTTGTGGTCTCTGTTGTTGTACTTTCTGGAGTTGTTGTGGCTGCGGTTGTACTTTCTGTTGTAGTAGTACCTACAGTTGTGGTTTCATGGGTGGTGATTTCTGTTGTTGTGATCTCGCCTGTGGTACTTTCCGCTGTTGTGGTACCCACAGTTGTGGTGCTCTCGGTTGTTGTACTTTCGGGAGTTGTTGTGGCTGTGGTTGTACTTTCTGCTGTTGTAGTCTCACTTGTGGTACTCTCTGTTGCTGTGGTGCTTTCTATTGCTGTTGTACCATCAGTTGTGGTCTCAGGTGTGGTACTTTCTGCTGTTGTGGTACCCACAGTTGTGGTGCTCTCTGCTGTTGTTGGCTCAGTTGTTGTACTTTCTGGAGTTGTTGTGGCTGTGGTTGTACTTTCTGTTGTAGTAGTACCTACAGTTGTGGTCTCAGGGGTCGTGCTTTCTGTTGTTGTGATCTCGCTTGTGGTACTTTCCGCTGTTGTGGTACCCACAGTTGTGGTGCTTTCTGCTGTTGTGATCTCGCTTGTGGTACTTTCCGCTGTTGTGGTACCCACAGTTGTGGTGCTCTCTGCTGTTGTGGTCTCTGTTGTTGTACTTTCTGGAGTTGTTGTGGCTGTGGTTGTACTTTCAGTTGTAGAAGTACTTACAGTTTTGGTTTCAGGGGTGGTGCTTTCTGTTGTTGTGATCTCGCTTGTGGTACTTTCCGCTGTTGTGGTACCCACAGTTGTGGTGCTTTCTGCTGTTGTGATCTCGCTTGTGGTACTTTCCGCTGTTGTGGTACCCACAGTTGTGGTGCTCTCTGCTGTTGTGGTCTCTGTTGTTGTACTTTCTGGAGTTGTTGTGGCTGTGGTTGTACTTTCAGTTGTAGAAGTACCTACAGTTGTGGTTTCAGGGGTGGTGCTTTCTGTTGTTGTGATCTCGCTTGTGGTACTTTCCGCTGTTGTGGTACCCACAGTTGTTGTGCTTTCTGCTGTTGTGATCTCGCTTGTAGTACTTTCCACTGTTGTGCTACCCACAGTTGTGGTGCTTTCTGCTGTTGTGGTCTCGGTTGTTGTACTTTCTGGAGTTGTTGTGGCTTTGGTTGTACTTTCTGTTGTAGAAGTACCTACTGTTGTGGTTTCAGGGGTGGTGCTTTCTGTTGTTGTGATCTCGATTGTGGTACTTTCCGCTGTCGTGATACCAACAGTTGTGGTGCTTTCTGCTGTCGTGATCTCGCTTGTGGTACTTTCCGCTGTTGTGGTACCCACAGATGTGGTGCTCTCTGCTGTTGTGGTCTCTGTTGTTGTACTTTCTGGAGTTGTTGTGGCTGCGGTTGTACTTTCTGTTGTGGTAGTACCTACAGTTGTGGTTTCAGGGGTGGTGATTTCTGTTGTTGTGATCTCGCCTGTGGTACTTTCCGCTGTTGTGGTACCCACAGTTGTGGTGCTCTCGGTTGTTGTACTTTCGGGAGTTGTTGTGGCTGTGGTTGTACTTTCAGTTGTAGAAGTACCTACAGTTGTGGTCTCAGGGGTCGTGCTTTCTGTTGTTGTGATCTCGCTTGTGGTACTTTCCGCTCTTGTGGTACCCACAGTTGTTGTGCTTTCTGCTGTTGTGATCTCGCTTGTAGTACTTTCCACTGTTGTGCTACCTACAGTTGTGGTGCTTTCTGCTGTTGTGGTCTCGGTTGTTGTACTTTCTGGAGTTGTTGTGGCTGTGGTTGTACTTTCTGTTGTAGAAGTACCCACTGTTGTGGTTTCAGGGGTGGTGCTTTCTGTTGTTGTGATCTCGATTGTGGTACTTTCCGCTGTCGTGGTACCAACAGTTGTGGTGCTTTCTGCTGTCGTGATCTCGCTTGTGGTACTTTCCGCTGTTGTGGTACCCACAGATGTGGTGCTCTCTGCTGTTGTGGTCTCTGTTGTTGTACTTTCTGGAGTTGTTGTGGCTGCGGTTGTACTTTCTGTTGTAGTAGTACCTACAGTTGTGGTTTCAGGGGTGGTGATTTCTGTTGTTGTGATCTCGCTTGTGGTACTTTCCGCTGTTGTGGTACCCACAGTTGTGGTGCTTTCTGCTGTTGTGATCTCGCTTGTGGTACTTTCCGCTGTTGTGGTACCCACAGTTGTGGTGCTCTCTGCTGTTGTGGTCTCTGTTGTTGTACTTTCTGGAGTTGTTGTGGCTGTGGTTGTACTTTCAGTTGTAGAAGTACCTACAGTTGTGGTTTCAGGGGTGGTGTTTTCTGTTGTTGTGATCTCGCTTGTGGTACTTTCCGCTGTTGTGGTACCCACAGTTGTTGTGCTTTCTGCTGTTGTGATCTCGCTTGTAGTACTTTCCACTGTTGTGCTACCCACAGTTGTGGTGCTTTCTGCTGTTGTGGTCTCGGTTGTTGTACTTTCTGGAGTTGTTGTGGCTGTGGTTGTACTTTCTGTTGTAGAAGTACCTACTGTTGTGGTTTCAGGGGTGGTGCTTTCTGTTGTTGTGATCTCGATTGTGGTACTTTCCGCTGTCGTGGTACCAACAGTTGTGGTGCTTTCTGCTGTCGTGATCTCGCTTGTGGTACTTTCCGCTGTTGTGGTACCCACAGATGTGGTGCTCTCTAATGTTGTGGTCTCTGTTGTTGTACTTTCTGGAGTTGTTGTGGCTGCGGTTGTACTTTCTGTTGTAGTAGTACCTACAGTTGTGGTTTCATGGGTGGTGATTTCTGTTGTTGTGATCTCGCCTGTGGTACTTTCCGCTGTTGTGGTACCCACAGTTGTGGTGCTCTCGGTTGTTGTACTTTCGGGAGTTGTTGTGGCTGTGGTTGTACTTTCTGCTGTTGTAGTCTCACTTGTGGTACTCTCTGTTGCTGTGGTGCTTTCTATTGTTGTTGTACCATCAGTTGTGGTCTCAGGTGTGGTACTTTCTGCTGTTGTGGTACCCACAGTTGTGGTGCTCTCTGCTGTTGTTGGCTCAGTTGTTGTACTTTCTGGAGTTGTTGTGGCTGTGGTTGTACTTTCTGTTGTAGTAGTACCTACAGTTGTGGTCTCAGGGGTCGTGCTTTCTGTTGTTGTGATCTCGCTTGTGGTACTTTCCGCTGTTGTGGTACCCACAGTTGTGGTGCTTTCTGCTGTTGTGATCTCGCTTGTGGTACTTTCCGCTGTTGTGGTACCCACAGTTGTGGTGCTCTCTGCTGTTGTGGTCTCTGTTGTTGTACTTTCTGGAGTTGTTGTGGCTGTGGTTGTACTTTCTGTTGTAGAAGTACCTACAGTTGTGGTTTCAGGGGTAGTGCTTTCTGTTGTTGTGATCTCGCTTGTGGTACTTTCCGCTGTTGTGGTACCCACAGTTGTTGTGCTTTCTGCTGTTGTGATCTTGCTTGTAGTACTTTCCACTGTTGTGCTACCCACAGTTGTGGTGCTTTCTGCTGTTGTGGTCTCGGTTGTTGTACTTTCTGGAGTTGTTGTGGCTGTGGTTGTACTTTCTGTTGTAGAAGTACCTACTGTTGTGGTTTCAGGGGTGGTGCTTTCTGTTGTTGTGATCTCGATTGTGGTACTTTCCGCTGTCGTGGTACCAACAGTTGTGGTGCTTTCTGCTGTCGTGATCTCGCTTGTGGTACTTTCCGCTGTTGTGGTACCCACAGATGTGGTGCTCTCTGCTGTTGTGGTCTCTGTTGTTGTACTTTCTGGAGTTGTTGTGGCTGCGGTTGTACTTTCTGTTGTAGTAGTACCTACAGTTGTGGTTTCAGGGGTGGTGATTTCTGTTGTTGTGATCTCGCTTGTGGTACTTTCCGCTGTTGTGGTACCCACAGTTGTGGTGCTTTCTGCTGTTGTGATCTCGCTTGTGGTACTTTCCGCTGTTGTGGTACCCACAGTTGTGGTGCTCTCTGCTGTTGTGGTCTCTGTTGTTGTACTTTCTGGAGTTGTTGTGGCTGTGGTTGTACTTTCAGTTGTAGAAGTACCTACAGTTGTGGTTTCAGGGGTGGTGCTTTCTGTTGTTGTGATCTCGCTTGTGGTACTTTCCGCTGTTGTGGTACCCACAGTTGTTGTGCTTTCTGCTGTTGTGATCTCGCTTGTAGTACTTTCCACTGTTGTGCTACCCACAGTTGTGGTGCTTTCTGCTGTTGTGGTCTCGGTTGTTGTACTTTCTGGAGTTGTTGTGGCTTTGGTTGTACTTTCTGTTGTAGAAGTACCTACTGTTGTGGTTTCAGGGGTGGTGTTTTCTGTTGTTGTGATCTCGATTGTGGTACTTTCCGCTGTCGTGATACCAACAGTTGTGGTGCTTTCTGCTGTCGTGATCTCGCTTGTGGTACTTTCCGCTGTTGTGGTACCCACAGATGTGGTGCTCTCTGCTGTTGTGGTCTCTGTTGTTGTACTTTCTGGAGTTGTTGTGGCTGCGGTTGTACTTTCTGTTGTGGTAGTACCTACAGTTGTGGTTTCAGGGGTGGTGATTTCTGTTGTTGTGATCTCGCCTGTGGTACTTTCCGCTGTTGTGGTACCCACAGTTGTGGTGCTCTCGGTTGTTGTACTTTCGGGAGTTGTTGTGGCTGTGGTTGTACTTTCTGCTGTTGTAGTCTCACTTGTGGTACTCTCTGTTGCTGTGGTGCTTTCTATTGTTGTTGTACCATCAGTTGTGGTCTCAGGTGTGGTACTTTCTGCTGTTGTGGTACCCACAGTTGTGGTGCTCTCTGCTGTTGTTGGCTCAGTTGTTGTACTTTCTGGAGTTGTTGTGGCTGTGGTTGTACTTTCTGTTGTAGTAGTACCTACAGTTGTGGTCTCAGGGGTCGTGCTTTCTGTTGTTGTGATCTCGCTTGTGGTACTTTCCGCTGTTGTGGTACCCACAGTTGTGGTGCTTTCTGCTGTTGTGATCTCGCTTGTGGTACTTTCCGCTGTTGTGGTACCCACAGTTGTGGTGCTCTCTGCTGTTGTGGTCTCTGTTGTTGTACTTTCTGGAGTTGTTGTGGCTGTGGTTGTACTTTCAGTTGTAGAAGTACCTACAGTTGTGGTTTCAGGGGTGGTGCTTTCTGTTGTTGTGATCTCGCTTGTGGTACTTTCCGCTGTTGTGGTACCCACAGTTGTTGTGCTTTTTGCTGTTGTGATCTCGCTTGTAGTACTTTCCACTGTTGTGCTACCCACAGTTGTGGTGCTTTCTGCTGTTGAGGTCTCGGTTGTTGTACTTTCTGGAGTTGTTGTGGCTGTGGTTGTACTTTCTGTTGTAGAAGTACCTACTGTTGTGGTTTCAGGGGTGGTGCTTTCTGTTGTTGTGATCTCGATTGTGGTACTTTCCGCTGTCGTGGTACCAACAGTTGTGGTGCTTTCTGCTGTCGTTATCTCGCTTGTGGTACTTTCCGCTGTTGTGGTACCCACAGATGTGGTGCTCTCTGCTGTTGTGGTCTCTGTTGTTGTACTTTCTGGAGTTGTTGTGGCTGCGGTTGTACTTTCTGTTGTAGTAGTACCTACAGTTGTGGTTTCAGGGGTGGTGATTTCTGTTGTTGTGATCTCGCTTGTGGTACTTTCCGCTGTTGTGGTACCCACAGTTGTGGTGCTTTCTGCTGTTGTGATCTCGCTTGTGGTACTTTCCGCTGTTGTGGTACCCACAGTTGTGGTGCTCTCTACTGTTGTGGTCTCTGTTGTTGTACTTTCTGGAGTTGTTGTGGCTGTGGTTGTACTTTCAGTTGTAGAAGTACCTACAGTTGTGGTTTCAGGGGTGGTGCTTTCTGTTGTTGTGATCTCGCTTGTGGTACTTTCCGCTGTTGTGGTACCCACAGTTGTTGTGCTTTCTGCTGTTGTGATCTCGCTTGTAGTACTTTCCACTGTTGTGCTACCCACAGTTGTGGTGCTTTCTGCTGTTGTGGTCTCGGTTGTTGTACTTTCTGGTGTTGTTGTGGCTGTGGTTGTACTTTCTGTTGTAGAAGTACCTACTGTTGTGGTTTCAGGGGTGGTGCTTTCTGTTGTTGTGATCTCGATTGTGGTACTTTCCGCTGTCGTGGTACCAACAGTTGTGGTGCTTTCTGCTGTCGTGATCTCGCTTGTGGTACTTTCCGCTGTTATGGTACCCACAGATGTGGTGCTCTCTGCTGTTGTGGTCTCTGTTGTTGTACTTTCTGGAGTTGTTGTGGCTGCGGTTGTACTTTCTGTTGTAGTAGTACCTACAGTTGTGGTTTCAGGGGTGGTGATTTCTGTTGTTGTGATCTCGCTTGTGGTACTTTCCGCTGTTGTGGTACCCACAGTTGTGGTGCTCTCGGTTGTTGTACTTTCGGGAGTTGTTGTGGCTGTGGTTGTACTTTCTGCTGTTGTAGTCTCACTTGTGGTACTCTCTGTTGCTGTGGTGCTTTCTATTGTTGTTGTACCATCAGTTGTGGTCTCAGGTGTGGTACTTTCTGCTGTTGTGGTACCCACAGTTGTGGTGCTCTCTGCTGTTGTGGTCTCAGTTGTTGAGCTTTCTGGAGTTGTTGTGGCTGTGGTTGTACTTTCTGTTGTAGTAGCATCTACAGTTGTGGTCTCAGGGGTGGTGCTTTCTGTTGTTGTGATCTCGCTTGTGGTACTTTCCACTGTTGTGGTACCCACAGTTGTGGTTCTTTCTAATGTTGTGATCTCGCTTGTGGTACTTTCCTCTGTTGTGGTACCCACAGTTGTGGTGCTCTCTGCTGTTGTGGTCTCAGTGGTTGTACTTTCTGGAGTTGTTGTGGCTGTGGTTGTACTTTCTGTTGTAGTAGTACCTACAGTTGTGGTCTCAGGGGTCGTGCTTTCTGTTGTCGTGATCTCGCTTGTGGTACTTTCCGCTGTTGTGGTACCCAGAGTTGTGGTGCTTTCTGTTGTCGTAATCTCGCTTGTGGTACTTTCCGCTGTTGTGGTACCCACAGTTGTGGTGCTTTCTGCTGTTGTGATCTCGCTTGTGGTACTTTCCGCTGTTGTGGTACCCACAGTTGTGGTGCTCTCTGCTGTTGTGGTCTCTGTTGTTGTACTTTCTGGAGTTGTTGTGGCTGTGGTTGTACTTTCAGTTGTAGAAGTACCTACAGTTGTGGTTTCAGGGGTGGTGCTTTCTGTTGTTGTGATCTCGCTTGTGGTACTTTCCGCTGTTGTGGTACCCACAGTTGTTGTGCTTTCTGCTGTTGTGATCTCGCTTGTAGTACTTTCCACTGTTGTGCTACCCACAGTTGTGGTGCTTTCTGCTGTTGTGGTCTCGGTTGTTGTACTTTCTGGAGTTGTTGTGGCTTTGGTTGTACTTTCTGTTGTAGAAGTACCTACTGTTGTGGTTTCAGGGGTGGTGCTTTCTGTTGTTGTGATCTCGATTGTGGTACTTTCCGCTGTCGTGATACCAACAGTTGTGGTGCTTTCTGCTGTCGTGATCTCGCTTGTGGTACTTTCCGCTGTTGTGGTACCCACAGATGTGGTGCTCTCTGCTGTTGTGGTCTCTGTTGTTGTACTTTCTGGAGTTGTTGTGGCTGCGGTTGTACTTTCTGTTGTGGTAGTACCTACAGTTGTGGTTTCAGGGGTGGTGATTTCTGTTGTTGTGATCTCGCCTGTGGTACTTTCCGCTGTTGTGGTACCCACAGTTGTGGTGCTCTCGGTTGTTGTACTTTCGGGAGTTGTTGTGGCTGTGGTTGTACTTTCAGTTGTAGAAGTACCTACAGTTGTGGTCTCAGGGGTCGTGCTTTCTGTTGTTGTGATCTCGCTTGTGGTACTTTCCGCTCTTGTGGTACCCACAGTTGTTGTGCTTTCTGCTGTTGTGATCTCGCTTGTAGTACTTTCCACTGTTGTGCTACCTACAGTTGTGGTGCTTTCTGCTGTTGTGGTCTCGGTTGTTGTACTTTCTGGAGTTGTTGTGGCTGTGGTTGTACTTTCTGTTGTAGAAGTACCTACAGTTGTGGTTTCAGGGGTAGTGCTTTCTGTTGTTGTGATCTCGCTTGTGGTACTTTCCGCTGTTGTGGTACCCACAGTTGTTGTGCTTTCTGCTGTTGTGATCTTGCTTGTAGTACTTTCCACTGTTGTGCTACCCACAGTTGTGGTGCTTTCTGCTGTTGTGGTCTCGGTTGTTGTACTTTCTGGAGTTGTTGTGGCTGTGGTTGTACTTTCTGTTGTAGAAGTACCTACTGTTGTGGTTTCAGGGGTGGTGCTTTCTGTTGTTGTGATCTCGATTGTGGTACTTTCCGCTGTCGTGGTACCAACAGTTGTGGTGCTTTCTGCTGTCGTTATCTCGCTTGTGGTACTTTCCGCTGTTGTGGTACCCACAGATGTGGTGCTCTCTGCTGTTGTGGTCTCTGTTGTTGTACTTTCTGGAGTTGTTGTGGCTGCGGTTGTACTTTCTGTTGTAGTAGTACCTACAGTTGTGGTTTCAGGGGTGGTGATTTCTGTTGTTGTGATCTCGCTTGTGGTACTTTCCGCTGTTGTGGTACCCACAGTTGTGGTGCTTTCTGCTGTTGTGATCTCGCTTGTGGTACTTTCCGCTGTTGTGGTACCCACAGTTGTGGTGCTCTCTACTGTTGTGGTCTCTGTTGTTGTACTTTCTGGAGTTGTTGTGGCTGTGGTTGTACTTTCAGTTGTAGAAGTACCTACAGTTGTGGTTTCAGGGGTGGTGCTTTCTGTTGTTGTGATCTCGCTTGTGGTACTTTCCGCTGTTGTGGTACCCACAGTTGTTGTGCTTTCTGCTGTTGTGATCTCGCTTGTAGTACTTTCCACTGTTGTGCTACCCACAGTTGTGGTGCTTTCTGCTGTTGTGGTCTCGGTTGTTGTACTTTCTGGTGTTGTTGTGGCTGTGGTTGTACTTTCTGTTGTAGAAGTACCTACTGTTGTGGTTTCAGGGGTGGTGCTTTCTGTTGTTGTGATCTCGATTGTGGTACTTTCCGCTGTCGTGGTACCAACAGTTGTGGTGCTTTCTGCTGTCGTGATCTCGCTTGTGGTACTTTCCGCTGTTATGGTACCCACAGATGTGGTGCTCTCTGCTGTTGTGGTCTCTGTTGTTGTACTTTCTGGAGTTGTTGTGGCTGCGGTTGTACTTTCTGTTGTAGTAGTACCTACAGTTGTGGTTTCAGGGGTGGTGATTTCTGTTGTTGTGATCTCGCTTGTGGTACTTTCCGCTGTTGTGGTACCCACAGTTGTGGTGCTCTCGGTTGTTGTACTTTCGGGAGTTGTTGTGGCTGTGGTTGTACTTTCTGCTGTTGTAGTCTCACTTGTGGTACTCTCTGTTGCTGTGGTGCTTTCTATTGTTGTTGTACCATCAGTTGTGGTCTCAGGTGTGGTACTTTCTGCTGTTGTGGTACCCACAGTTGTGGTGCTCTCTGCTGTTGTGGTCTCAGTTGTTGAGCTTTCTGGAGTTGTTGTGGCTGTGGTTGTACTTTCTGTTGTAGTAGCATCTACAGTTGTGGTCTCAGGGGTGGTGCTTTCTGTTGTTGTGATCTCGCTTGTGGTACTTTCCACTGTTGTGGTACCCACAGTTGTGGTTCTTTCTAATGTTGTGATCTCGCTTGTGGTACTTTCCTCTGTTGTGGTACCCACAGTTGTGGTGCTCTCTGCTGTTGTGGTCTCAGTGGTTGTACTTTCTGGAGTTGTTGTGGCTGTGGTTGTACTTTCTGTTGTAGTAGTACCTACAGTTGTGGTCTCAGGGGTCGTGCTTTCTGTTGTCGTGATCTCGCTTGTGGTACTTTCCGCTGTTGTGGTACCCAGAGTTGTGGTGCTTTCTGTTGTCGTAATCTCGCTTGTGGTACTTTCCGCTGTTGTGGTACCCACAGTTGTGGTGCTTTCTGCTGTTGTGATCTCGCTTGTGGTACTTTCCGCTGTTGTGGTACCCACAGTTGTGGTGCTCTCTGCTGTTGTGGTCTCTGTTGTTGTACTTTCTGGAGTTGTTGTGGCTGTGGTTGTACTTTCAGTTGTAGAAGTACCTACAGTTGTGGTTTCAGGGGTGGTGCTTTCTGTTGTTGTGATCTCGCTTGTGGTACTTTCCGCTGTTGTGGTACCCACAGTTGTTGTGCTTTCTGCTGTTGTGATCTCGCTTGTAGTACTTTCCACTGTTGTGCTACCCACAGTTGTGGTGCTTTCTGCTGTTGTGGTCTCGGTTGTTGTACTTTCTGGAGTTGTTGTGGCTTTGGTTGTACTTTCTGTTGTAGAAGTACCTACTGTTGTGGTTTCAGGGGTGGTGCTTTCTGTTGTTGTGATCTCGATTGTGGTACTTTCCGCTGTCGTGATACCAACAGTTGTGGTGCTTTCTGCTGTCGTGATCTCGCTTGTGGTACTTTCCGCTGTTGTGGTACCCACAGATGTGGTGCTCTCTGCTGTTGTGGTCTCTGTTGTTGTACTTTCTGGAGTTGTTGTGGCTGCGGTTGTACTTTCTGTTGTGGTAGTACCTACAGTTGTGGTTTCAGGGGTGGTGATTTCTGTTGTTGTGATCTCGCCTGTGGTACTTTCCGCTGTTGTGGTACCCACAGTTGTGGTGCTCTCGGTTGTTGTACTTTCGGGAGTTGTTGTGGCTGTGGTTGTACTTTCAGTTGTAGAAGTACCTACAGTTGTGGTCTCAGGGGTCGTGCTTTCTGTTGTTGTGATCTCGCTTGTGGTACTTTCCGCTCTTGTGGTACCCACAGTTGTTGTGCTTTCTGCTGTTGTGATCTCGCTTGTAGTACTTTCCACTGTTGTGCTACCTACAGTTGTGGTGCTTTCTGCTGTTGTGGTCTCGGTTGTTGTACTTTCTGGAGTTGTTGTGGCTGTGGTTGTACTTTCTGTTGTAGAAGTACCCACTGTTGTGGTTTCAGGGGTGGTGCTTTCTGTTGTTGTGATCTCGATTGTGGTACTTTCCGCTGTCGTGGTACCAACAGTTGTGGTGCTTTCTGCTGTCGTGATCTCGCTTGTGGTACTTTCCGCTGTTGTGGTACCCACAGATGTGGTGCTCTCTGCTGTTGTGGTCTCTGTTGTTGTACTTTCTGGAGTTGTTGTGGCTGCGGTTGTACTTTCTGTTGTAGTAGTACCTACAGTTGTGGTTTCAGGGGTGGTGATTTCTGTTGTTGTGATCTCGCTTGTGGTACTTTCCGCTGTTGTGGTACCCACAGTTGTGGTGCTTTCTGCTGTTGTGATCTCGCTTGTGGTACTTTCCGCTGTTGTGGTACCCACAGTTGTGGTGCTCTCTGCTGTTGTGGTCTCTGTTGTTGTACTTTCTGGAGTTGTTGTGGCTGTGGTTGTACTTTCAGTTGTAGAAGTACCTACAGTTGTGGTTTCAGGGGTGGTGTTTTCTGTTGTTGTGATCTCGCTTGTGGTACTTTCCGCTGTTGTGGTACCCACAGTTGTTGTGCTTTCTGCTGTTGTGATCTCGCTTGTAGTACTTTCCACTGTTGTGCTACCCACAGTTGTGGTGCTTTCTGCTGTTGTGGTCTCGGTTGTTGTACTTTCTGGAGTTGTTGTGGCTGTGGTTGTACTTTCTGTTGTAGAAGTACCTACTGTTGTGGTTTCAGGGGTGGTGCTTTCTGTTGTTGTGATCTCGATTGTGGTACTTTCCGCTGTCGTGGTACCAACAGTTGTGGTGCTTTCTGCTGTCGTGATCTCGCTTGTGGTACTTTCCGCTGTTGTGGTACCCACAGATGTGGTGCTCTCTAATGTTGTGGTCTCTGTTGTTGTACTTTCTGGAGTTGTTGTGGCTGCGGTTGTACTTTCTGTTGTAGTAGTACCTACAGTTGTGGTTTCATGGGTGGTGATTTCTGTTGTTGTGATCTCGCCTGTGGTACTTTCCGCTGTTGTGGTACCCACAGTTGTGGTGCTCTCGGTTGTTGTACTTTCGGGAGTTGTTGTGGCTGTGGTTGTACTTTCTGCTGTTGTAGTCTCACTTGTGGTACTCTCTGTTGCTGTGGTGCTTTCTATTGTTGTTGTACCATCAGTTGTGGTCTCAGGTGTGGTACTTTCTGCTGTTGTGGTACCCACAGTTGTGGTGCTCTCTGCTGTTGTTGGCTCAGTTGTTGTACTTTCTGGAGTTGTTGTGGCTGTGGTTGTACTTTCTGTTGTAGTAGTACCTACAGTTGTGGTCTCAGGGGTCGTGCTTTCTGTTGTTGTGATCTCGCTTGTGGTACTTTCCGCTGTTGTGGTACCCACAGTTGTGGTGCTTTCTGCTGTTGTGATCTCGCTTGTGGTACTTTCCGCTGTTGTGGTACCCACAGTTGTGGTGCTCTCTGCTGTTGTGGTCTCTGTTGTTGTACTTTCTGGAGTTGTTGTGGCTGTGGTTGTACTTTCTGTTGTAGAAGTACCTACAGTTGTGGTTTCAGGGGTAGTGCTTTCTGTTGTTGTGATCTCGCTTGTGGTACTTTCCGCTGTTGTGGTACCCACAGTTGTTGTGCTTTCTGCTGTTGTGATCTTGCTTGTAGTACTTTCCACTGTTGTGCTACCCACAGTTGTGGTGCTTTCTGCTGTTGTGGTCTCGGTTGTTGTACTTTCTGGAGTTGTTGTGGCTGTGGTTGTACTTTCTGTTGTAGAAGTACCTACTGTTGTGGTTTCAGGGGTGGTGCTTTCTGTTGTTGTGATCTCGATTGTGGTACTTTCCGCTGTCGTGGTACCAACAGTTGTGGTGCTTTCTGCTGTCGTGATCTCGCTTGTGGTACTTTCCGCTGTTGTGGTACCCACAGATGTGGTGCTCTCTGCTGTTGTGGTCTCTGTTGTTGTACTTTCTGGAGTTGTTGTGGCTGCGGTTGTACTTTCTGTTGTAGTAGTACCTACAGTTGTGGTTTCAGGGGTGGTGATTTCTGTTGTTGTGATCTCGCTTGTGGTACTTTCCGCTGTTGTGGTACCCACAGTTGTGGTGCTTTCTGCTGTTGTGATCTCGCTTGTGGTACTTTCCGCTGTTGTGGTACCCACAGTTGTGGTGCTCTCTGCTGTTGTGGTCTCTGTTGTTGTACTTTCTGGAGTTGTTGTGGCTGTGGTTGTACTTTCAGTTGTAGAAGTACCTACAGTTGTGGTTTCAGGGGTGGTGCTTTCTGTTGTTGTGATCTCGCTTGTGGTACTTTCCGCTGTTGTGGTACCCACAGTTGTTGTGCTTTCTGCTGTTGTGATCTCGCTTGTAGTACTTTCCACTGTTGTGCTACCCACAGTTGTGGTGCTTTCTGCTGTTGTGGTCTCGGTTGTTGTACTTTCTGGAGTTGTTGTGGCTTTGGTTGTACTTTCTGTTGTAGAAGTACCTACTGTTGTGGTTTCAGGGGTGGTGTTTTCTGTTGTTGTGATCTCGATTGTGGTACTTTCCGCTGTCGTGATACCAACAGTTGTGGTGCTTTCTGCTGTCGTGATCTCGCTTGTGGTACTTTCCGCTGTTGTGGTACCCACAGATGTGGTGCTCTCTGCTGTTGTGGTCTCTGTTGTTGTACTTTCTGGAGTTGTTGTGGCTGCGGTTGTACTTTCTGTTGTGGTAGTACCTACAGTTGTGGTTTCAGGGGTGGTGATTTCTGTTGTTGTGATCTCGCCTGTGGTACTTTCCGCTGTTGTGGTACCCACAGTTGTGGTGCTCTCGGTTGTTGTACTTTCGGGAGTTGTTGTGGCTGTGGTTGTACTTTCTGCTGTTGTAGTCTCACTTGTGGTACTCTCTGTTGCTGTGGTGCTTTCTATTGTTGTTGTACCATCAGTTGTGGTCTCAGGTGTGGTACTTTCTGCTGTTGTGGTACCCACAGTTGTGGTGCTCTCTGCTGTTGTTGGCTCAGTTGTTGTACTTTCTGGAGTTGTTGTGGCTGTGGTTGTACTTTCTGTTGTAGTAGTACCTACAGTTGTGGTCTCAGGGGTCGTGCTTTCTGTTGTTGTGATCTCGCTTGTGGTACTTTCCGCTGTTGTGGTACCCACAGTTGTGGTGCTTTCTGCTGTTGTGATCTCGCTTGTGGTACTTTCCGCTGTTGTGGTACCCACAGTTGTGGTGCTCTCTGCTGTTGTGGTCTCTGTTGTTGTACTTTCTGGAGTTGTTGTGGCTGTGGTTGTACTTTCAGTTGTAGAAGTACCTACAGTTGTGGTTTCAGGGGTGGTGCTTTCTGTTGTTGTGATCTCGCTTGTGGTACTTTCCGCTGTTGTGGTACCCACAGTTGTTGTGCTTTTTGCTGTTGTGATCTCGCTTGTAGTACTTTCCACTGTTGTGCTACCCACAGTTGTGGTGCTTTCTGCTGTTGAGGTCTCGGTTGTTGTACTTTCTGGAGTTGTTGTGGCTGTGGTTGTACTTTCTGTTGTAGAAGTACCTACTGTTGTGGTTTCAGGGGTGGTGCTTTCTGTTGTTGTGATCTCGATTGTGGTACTTTCCGCTGTCGTGGTACCAACAGTTGTGGTGCTTTCTGCTGTCGTGATCTCGCTTGTGGTACTTTCCGCTGTTGTGGTACCCACAGATGTGGTGCTCTCTGCTGTTGTGGTCTCTGTTGTTGTACTTTCTGGAGTTGTTGTGGCTGCGGTTGTACTTTCTGTTGTAGTAGTACCTACAGTTGTGGTTTCAGGGGTGGTGATTTCTGTTGTTGTGATCTCGCTTGTGGTACTTTCCGCTGTTGTGGTACCCACAGTTGTGGTGCTTTCTGCTGTTGTGATCTCGCTTGTGGTACTTTCCGCTGTTGTGGTACCCACAGTTGTGGTGCTCTCTACTGTTGTGGTCTCTGTTGATGTACTTTCTGGAGTTGTTGTGGCTGTGGTTGTACTTTCAGTTGTAGAAGTACCTACAGTTGTGGTTTCAGGGGTGGTGCTTTCTGTTGTTGTGATCTCGCTTGTGGTACTTTCCGCTGTTGTGGTACCCACAGTTGTTGTGCTTTCTGCTGTTGTGATCTCGCTTGTAGTACTTTCCACTGTTGTGCTACCCACAGTTGTGGTGCTTTCTGCTGTTGTGGTCTCGGTTGTTGTACTTTCTGGTGTTGTTGTGGCTGTGGTTGTACTTTCTGTTGTAGAAGTACCTACTGTTGTGGTTTCAGGGGTGGTGCTTTCTGTTGTTGTGATCTCGATTGTGGTACTTTCCGCTGTCGTGGTACCAACAGTTGTGGTGCTTTCTGCTGTCGTGATCTCGCTTGTGGTACTTTCCGCTGTTATGGTACCCACAGATGTGGTGCTCTCTGCTGTTGTGGTCTCTGTTGTTGTACTTTCTGGAGTTGTTGTGGCTGCGGTTGTACTTTCTGTTGTAGTAGTACCTACAGTTGTGGTTTCAGGGGTGGTGATTTCTGTTGTTGTGATCTCGCTTGTGGTACTTTCCGCTGTTGTGGTACCCACAGTTGTGGTGCTCTCGGTTGTTGTACTTTCGGGAGTTGTTGTGGCTGTGGTTGTACTTTCTGCTGTTGTAGTCTCACTTGTGGTACTCTCTGTTGCTGTGGTGCTTTCTATTGTTGTTGTACCATCAGTTGTGGTCTCAGGTGTGGTACTTTCTGCTGTTGTGGTACCCACAGTTGTGGTGCTCTCTGCTGTTGTGGTCTCAGTTGTTGAGCTTTCTGGAGTTGTTGTGGCTGTGGTTGTACTTTCTGTTGTAGTAGCATCTACAGTTGTGGTCTCAGGGGTGGTGCTTTCTGTTGTTGTGATCTCGCTTGTGGTACTTTCCACTGTTGTGGTACCCACAGTTGTGGTTCTTTCTAATGTTGTGATCTCGCTTGTGGTACTTTCCTCTGTTGTGGTACCCACAGTTGTGGTGCTCTCTGCTGTTGTGGTCTCAGTGGTTGTACTTTCTGGAGTTGTTGTGGCTGTGGTTGTACTTTCTGTTGTAGTAGTACCTACAGTTGTGGTCTCAGGGGTCGTGCTTTCTGTTGTCGTGATCTCGCTTGTGGTACTTTCCGCTGTTGTGGTACCCAGAGTTGTGGTGCTTTCTGTTGTCGTAATCTCGCTTGTGGTACTTTCCGCTGTTGTGGTACCCACAGTTGTGGTGCTTTCTGCTGTTCTGATCTTGCTTGTGGTACTTTCCGCTGTTGTGGTACCCACAGTTGTGGTGCTCTCTGCTGTTGTGGTCTCTGTTGTTGTACTTTCTGGAGTTGTTGTGGCTGTGGTTGTACTTTCCGTTGTAGAAGTACCTACAGTTGTGGTTTCAGGGGTGGTGCTTTCTGTTGTTGTGATCTCGCTTGTGGTACTTTCCGCTGTTGTGGTACCCACAGTTGTTGTGCTTTCTGCTGTTGTGATCTCGCTTGTAGTACTTTCCACTGTTGTGCTACCCACAGTTGTGGTGCTTTCTGCTGTTGTGGTCTCGGTTGTTGTACTTTCTGGAGTTGTTGTGGCTGTGGTTGTACTTTCTGTTGTAGAAGTACCTACTGTTGTGGTTTCAGGGGTGGTGCTTTCTGTTGTTGTGATCTCGATTGTGGTACTTTCCGCTGTCGTGGTACCAACAGTTGTGGTGCTTTCTGCTGTCGTGATCTCGCTTGTGGTACTTTCCGCTGTTGTGGTACCCACAGATGTGGTGCTCTCTGCTGTTGTGGTCTCTGTTGTTGTACTTTCTGGAGTTGTTGTGGCTGCAGTTGTACTTTCTGTTGTAGTAGTACCTACAGTTGTGGTTTCAGGGGTGGTGATTTCTGTTGTTGTGATCTCGCTTGTGGTACTTTCCGCTGTTGTGGTACCCACAGTTGTGGTGCTTTCTGCTGTTGTGATCTCGCTTGTGGTACTTTCCGCTGTTGTGGTACCCACAGTTGTGGTGCTCTCTACTGTTGTGGTCTCTGTTGTTGTACTTTCTGGAGTTGTTGTGGCTGTGGTTGTACTTTCAGTTGTAGAAGTACCTACAGTTGTGGTTTCAGGGGTGGTGCTTTCTGTTGTTGTGATCTCGCTTGTGGTACTTTCCGCTGTTGTGGTACCCACAGTTGTTGTGCTTTCTGCTGTTGTGATCTCGCTTGTAGTACTTTCCACTGTTGTGCTACCCACAGTTGTGCTGCTTTCTGCTGTTGTGGTCTCGGTTGTTGTACTTTCTGGAGTTGTTGTGGCTGTGGTTGTACTTTCTGTTGTAGTAGTACCTACAGTTGTGGTTTCAGGGGTGGTGATTTCTGTTGTTGTGATCTCGCTTGTGGTACTTTCCGCTGTTGTGGTACCCAAGGTTGTGGTGCTTTCTACTGTTGTGATCTCGCTTGTGGTACTTTCCACTGTTGTGGTACCCACAGTTGTGGTGCTTTCTGCTGTTGTGGTCTCGGTTGTTGTACTTTCTGGAGTTGTTGTGGCTGTGGTTGTACTTTCTGTTGTAGAAGTACCTACTGTTGTGGTTTCAGGGGTAGTGCTTTCAGTTGTTGTGATTTCGCTTGTAGTACTTTCTGCTGTTGTGGTACCCACAGACGTGGTGCTTTCTGCTGTTGTGATCTCGCTTGTGGTAGTTTCTGCTGTTGTGGTACCCACAGTTGTGGTGCTCTCGGTTGTTGTACTTTCTGGAGTTGTTGTAGCTGTGGTTGTACTTTCTGTTGTAGAAGTACCTACTGTTGTGGTTTCAGGGATGGTGCTTTCTGTTGTTGTGATCTCGATTGTGGTACTTTCTGCTGTTGTGGTACCCACAGTTGTGGTGCTCTCGGTTGTTGTACTTTCGGGAGTTGTTGTGGCTGTGGTTGTACTTTCTGCTGTTGTAGTCTCACTTGTGGTACTTTCTGTTGCTTTGGTGCTTTCTGTTGTTGTAGTACCATCAATTGTGGTCTCAGGTGTGGTACTTTCTGCTGTTGTGGTACCCACAGTTGTGGTGCTCTCTGCTGTTGTGGTCTCAGTTGTTGGACTTTCTGGAGTTGTTGTGGCTGTGGTTGTACTTTCTGTTGTAGTAGTACCTACAGTTGTGGTCTCAGGGGTCGTGCTTTCTGTTGTCGTGATCTCGCTTGTGGTACTTTCCGCTGTTGTGGTACCCAAGGTTGTGGTGCTTTCTGCTGTTGTGATCTCGCTTGTGGTACTTTCCACTGTTGTGGTACCCACAGTCGTGGTGCTTTCTGCTGTTGTGATCTCGCTTGTGGTACTTTCTGCTGTTGTGGTACCCACAGTTGTGGTGCTCTCGGTTGTTGCACTTTCGGGAGTTGTGGCTGTGGTTGTACTTTCTGCTGTTGTAGTCTCACTTGTGGTACTTTCTGTTGCTGTGGTGCTTTGTGTGTTTGTAGTACCGTCAGTTGTGGTCTCAGGTGTGGTAGGTTCTGCTGTTGTGGTGCCCAGAGTTGTGGTGCTTTCTGCTGTTGTGGTCTCAGTTGTTGTACTTTCTGGAGTTGTTGTGGGTGTGGTTGTACTTTCTGTTGTAGTAGTACCTACAGTTGTGGTCTCAGGGGTGGTGCTTTCTGTTGTTGTGATCTCGCTTGTGGTACTTTCCGCTGTTGTGGAACCCACAGTTGTGGTACTTTCTGCTGTTGTGATCTCACTTGTGGTACTTTCCGCTGTTGTGGTACCCACAGTTGTGGTGCTTTCTGCTGTTGTGGTCTCGGTTGTTGTACTTTCTGGAGCTGTTGTAGCTGTGGTTGTACTTTCTGTTGTAGAAGTACCTACTGTTGTGGTTTCAGGGGTGGTGCTTTCTGTTGTTGTGATCTCGATTGTGGTACTTTCTGCTGTTGTGGTACCCACAGTTGTGGTGCTCTCGGTTGTTGTACTTTCGGGAGTTGTTGTGGCTCTGGTTGTACTTTCTGCTGTTGTAGTCTCACTTGTGGTACTTTCTGTTGCTGTGGTGCTTTCTGTTGTTGTAGTACCATCAGTTGTGGTCTCAGTTGTTGTACTTTCTGGAGTTGTTGTGGCTGCGGTTGTACTTTCTGTTCTAGAAGTACCTACAGTTGTGGTTTCAGGGGTGGTGATTTCTGTTGTTGTGATCTCGCTTGTGGTACTTTCCGCTGTTGTGGTACCCAAAGTTGTGGTGCTTTCTGCTGTTGTGATCTCTCTAGTGGTACTTTCCACTGTTGTGGTACCCACAGTTGTGGTGCTTTCTGCTGTTGTGGTTTCGGTTGTTGTACTTTCTGGAGTTGTTGTGGCTGTGGTTGTACTTTCTGTTGTAGAAGTACCTACTGTTGTGGTTTCAGGGGTGGTGCTTTCAGTTGTTGTGATCTCGCTTGTAGTACTTTCTGCTGTTGTGGTACCCACAGTCGTGGTGCTTTCTGCTGTTGTGATCTCGCTTGTGGTACTTTCCGCTGTTGTGGTACCCACAGTTGTGGTGCTCTCGGTTGTTGTACTTTCGGGAGTTGTTGTGGCTGTGGTTGTACTTTCTGCTTTTGTAGTCTCACTAGTGGTACTTTCTGTTGCTGTGGTGCTTTCTGTTGTTGTAGTACCATCAGTTGTGGTCTCAGGTGTGGTATGTTCTGCTGTTGTGGTACCCACGGTTGTGGTGCTCTCTGCTGATGTGGTCTCAGTTGTTGTACTTTCTGGAGTTGTTGTGGCTGCGGTTGTACTTTCTGTTGTAGTAGTACCTACAGTTGTGGTTTTAGGGGTGGTGATTTCTGTTGTTGTGATCTCGCTTGTGGTACTTTCCGCTGTTGTGGTACCCACAGTTGTTGTGCTTTCTGCTGTTGTGATCTCGCTTGTGGTACTTTCCACTGTTGTGCTATCCACAGTTGTGGTGCTTTCTGCTGTTGTGGTCTCGGTTGTTGTACTTTCTGGAGTTGTTGTGGCTGCGGTTGTACTTTCTGTTGTAGAAGTACCTACAGTTGTGGTTTTAGGGGTGGTGCTTTCTGTTGTTGTGATCTCGCTTGTGGTACTTTCCGCTGATGTGGAACCCACAGTTGTGGTACTTTCTGCTGTTGTGATCTCGCTTGTGGTACTTTCCGCTGTTGTGGTACCCACAGTTGTGGTGCTTTCTGCTGTTGTGGTCTCGGTTGTACTTTCTGGAGTTGTTGTGCCTGCAGTTGTACTTTCTGTTGTAGTATTACCTACAGTTGTGGTTTCAGGGGTGGTTATTTCTGTTGTTGTGATCTCGCTTGTGGTACTTTCTGCTGTTGTACTCTCACTTGTGGTACTTTCTGTTGCTGTGGTGCTTTCTGTTGTTGTAGTACCATCAGTTGTGGTCTCAGTTGTGGTACTTTCTGCTGTTGTGGTACCCACAGTTGTCGTGCTCTCTGCTGTTGTTGGCTCAGTTGTTGTACTTTCTGAAGTTGTTGTGGCTGTGGTTGTACTTTCTGTTGTAGTAGTACCTACAGTTGTGGTCTCAGGGATCGTGCTTTCTGTTGTCGTGATCTCGCTTGTGGTACTTTCCGCTGTTGTGGTACCCAGAGTTGTGGTACTTTCTGTTGTCGTAATCTCGCTTGTGGTACTTTCCGCTGTTGTGGTACCCACAGTTGTGGTGCTTTCTGCTGTTTTGATTTCGCTTGTTGTACTTTCCGCTGTTGTGGTACCCACAGTTGTGGTGCTTTCTGCTGTTGTGGTCTCTGTTGTTGTACTTTCTGGAGTTGTTGTGGCTGCGGTTGTACTTTCTGTTGTAGTAGTACCTACAGTTGTGGTTTCAGGGCTGGTGATTTCTGTTGTTGTGATCTCGCTTGTGGTACTTTCTGCTGTTGTGGTACCCAAAGTTGTGGTGCTTTCTGCTGTTGTGATCTTGCTTGTGGTACTTTCCACTGTTGTGGTACCCACAGTTGTGGTGCTTCCTGCTGTTGTGGTCTCGGTTGTTGTACTTTCTGGAGTTGTTGTGGCTGTGGTTCTACTTTCTGTTGTAGAAGTACCTACTGTTGTGGTCTCAGGGGTGGTGCTTTCTGTTGTTGTGATCTCGATTGTGGTACTTTCCGCTGTTGTGGTACCCACAGTTGTGGTGATTTCTGCTGTTGTGATCTCACTTGTGGTACTTTCTGCTGTTGTGGTACCCACAGATGTGGTGCTCTCTGCTGTTGTGGTCTCTGTTGTTGTACTTTCTGGAGTTGTTGTGGCTGCGGTTGTACTTTCTGTTGTAGTAGTACCTACAGTTGTGGTTTCAGGGGAGGTTATTTCGGTTGTTGTGATCTCGCTTGTGGTACTTTCCGCTGTTGTGGTACCCACAATTGTGGTGCTTTCTGCTGTTGTGATCTCGCTTGTGGTACTTTCCACTGTTGTGCTACCCACAGTTGTGGTGCTTTCTGCTGTTGTGGTCTCGGTTGTTGTACTTTCTGGAGTGGTTGTGGCTATGGTTGTACTTTCTGTTGTAGAAGTACCTACTGTTGTGGTTTCAGGGGTGGTGCTTTCTGTTGTTGTGATCTCGATTGTGGTACTTTCCGCTGTTGTGGTACCCACAGTTGTGGTGCTCTCGGTTGTTGTACTTTTGGGAGTTGTTGTGGCTGTGGTTGTACTTTCTTCTGTTGTAGTCTCACTTGTGGTACTGTCTGTTGCTGTGGTGCTTTCTGTTGTTGTAGAACCATCAGTTGTGGTCTCAGGTGTGGTACTTTCTGCTGTTGTGGTACCCACAGTTGTGGTGCTCTCTGCTGTTGTTGGCTCAGTTGTTGTACTTTCTGGAGTTGTTGTGGCTGGGGTTGTACTTTCTGTTGTAGTAGTACCTACAGTTGTGGTCTCAGGGGTCGTGCTTTCTGTTGTCGTGATCTCGCTTGTGGTACTTTCCGCTGTTGTGGTACCCAGAGTTGTGGTGCTTTCTGTTGTCGTAATCTCGCTTGTGGTACTTTCCGCTGTTGTGGTACCCAAAGTTGTGGTGCTCTCTGCTGTTGTGGTCTCTGTTGTTGTACTTTCTGGAGTTTTTGTGGCTGCGGTTGTACTTTCTGTTGTAGTAGTACCTATAGTTGTGTTTTCAGGGGTGGTGATTTCTGTTGTGATCTTGCTTGTGGTACTTTCCGCTGCTGTGGTACCCAAAGTTGTGGTGCTTTTTGCTTTTGTGATCTCGCTTGTGGTACTTTCCACTTTTGTGGTACCCACAGTTGTGGTGCTTTCTGCTGTTGTGGTCTCGGTTGTTGTACTTTCTGGAGTTGTTGTGGCTGTGGTTGTACTTTCTGTTGTAGAAGTACCTACAGTTGTGGTTTCAGGGGTGGTGCTTTCAGTTGTTGTGATCTCGCTTGTAGTACTTTCCGCTGTTGTGGTACCCACAGTTGTGGTGCTCTCAGTTGTTGTACTTTTGGGAGTTGTTTTGGCTGTGGTTGTACTTTCTGCTGTTGTAGTCTCACTTGTGGTACTTTCTGTTGCTGTGGTGCTTTCTGTTGTTGTAGTACCATCAGTTGTGGTCTCAGGTGTGGTACTTTCTGCTGTTGTGGTACCCACAGTTGTGGTGCTCTCTGCTGTTGTTGGCTCAGTTGTTGTACTTTCTGGAGTTGTTGTGGCTGTGGTTGTACTTTCTGTTGTAGTAATACCTACAGTTGTGGTCTCAGGGGTCGTGCTTCCTGTAGTCGTGATCTCGCTTGTGGTGCTTTCCGCTGTTGTGGTACCCAGAGTTGTGGTGCTTTCTGTTGTCGTAATCTCGCTTGTGGTACTTTCCACTGTTGTGGTACCCACAGTTGTGGTGCTTTCTGCTGTTGTGATCTCGCTTGTGGTACTTTCCGCTGTTGTGGTTCCCACAGTTGTGGTGCTTTCTGCTGTCGTGGTCTCTGTTGTTGTACTTTCTGGAGTTGTTGTGACTGTGGTTGTACTTTCTGTTGTAGTAATACCTACAGTTGTGGTAAAAGGGGTAGTGCTTTCTGTTGTTGTGATCTCGCTTGTGGTAATTTCCGCTGTTGTGGTACCCAGAGCTGTGGTGCTCTCTGCTGTGGTGATCTCGCTTGTGGTTCTTTCCGCTGTTGTGGTTCCCACAGTTGTGGTGCTTTCTGCAGTTGTAGTCTCTGTTGTTCTACTTTCTGGAGTTGTTCTGGCTGCGGTTGTACTTTCTGTTGTAGCAGTACCGACAGTTGTGGTTTCAGGGGTGGTGATTTCTGTTGTTGTGATCTCGCTTTTGGTACTTTCCGCTATTGTGTTACCCACAGTCGTGGTGCTTTCTGCTGTTGTGATCTCGCTTGTGGTACTTTCCGCTGTTGTGGTACCCACAGTTGTGTTGATCTCTGCTGTTGTGGTCTCTGTTGTTGTACTTTCTGGAGTTGTTGTGGCTGCGGTTGTACTTTCTGTTGTAGTAGTACCTACAGTTGTGGTTTCAGGGGAGGTTATTTCGGTTGTTGTGATCTCGCTTGTGGTACTTTCCGCTGTTGTGGTACCCACAATTGTGGTACTTTCCGCTGTTGTGGTACCCACAATTGTGGTGCTTTCTGCTGTTGTGATCTCGCTTGTGGTACTTTCCACTGTTGTGCTACCCACAGTTGTAGTGCTTTCTGCTGTTGTGGTCTCGGTTGTTGTACTTTCTGGAGTTGTTGTGGCTATGGTTGTACTTTCTGTTGTAGAAGTACCTACTGTTGTGGTTTCAGGGGTGGTGCTTTCTGTTGTTGTGATCTCGATTGTGGTACTTTCCGCTGTTGTGGTACCCACAGTTGTGGTGCTCTCGGTTGTTGTACTTTTGGGAGTTGTTGTGGCTGTGGTTGTACTTTCTGCTGTTGTAGTCTCACTTGTGGTACTTTCTGTTGCTGTGGTGCTTTCTGTTGTTGTAGTACCATCAGTTGTGGTCTCAGGTGTGGTACTTTCTGCTGTTGTGGTACCCACAGTTGTGGTGCTCTCTGCTGTTGTTGGCTCAGTTGTTGTACTTTCTGGAGTTGTTGTGGCTGTGGTTGTACTTTCTGTTGTAGTAGTACCTACAGTTGTGGTCTCAGGGGTTGTGCTTTCTGTTGTCGTGATCTCGCTTGTGGTACTTTCCGCTGTTGTGGTACCCAGAGTTGTGGTGCTTTCTGTTGTCGTGATCTCGCTTGTGGTACTTTCCGCTGTTGTGGTACCCAAAGTTGTGGTGCTCTCTGCTGTTGTGGTCTCGGTTGTTGTACTATCTGGAGTTGTTGTGGCTGCGGTTGTACTTTCTGTTGTAGTAGTACCTACAGTTGTGGTTTCAGGGGTGGTGATTTCTGTTGTGATCTCGCTTGTGGTACTTTCCGCTGTTGTGGTACCCAAAGTTGTGGTGCTTTCTGCTGTTGTGATCTCGCCTGTGGTACTTTCCACTTTTGTGGTACCCACAGTTGTGGTGCTCTCTGCTGTTGTGGTCTCTGTAGATGTAGTTTCTGGAGTTGTTGTGGCTGCGGTTGTACTTTCTATTGTAGTAGTACCTACAGTTGTGGATTCAGGGGTTTTGATTTCTGTTGTTGTGATCTCCATTGTAGTACTTTCCGCTGTTGTGGTACCAACAGTTGTGGTGCTTTCTGCTGTTGTGATCTCGCTTGTGGTACTTTCTGCTGTTGTGGTACCCACAGTTGTGGTGCTCTCTGCTGTTGTGGTCTCAGTTGTTGTACTTTCTGGAGTTGTTGTGGCTGTGGTTGTACTTTCTGTTGTAGTAGTATCTACAGCTGTGGTCTCAGGGGTGGTGATTTCTGTTGTTGTGATCTCGCTTGTGGTACTTTCCACTGTTGTGGCACCCACAGTTGTGGTGCTTTCTGCTGTTGTGATCTCGCTTGTGGTACTTTCCGCTGTTGTGGTACCCACAAATGTGGTGCTCTCTGCTGTTTTGATCTCGCTTGTGGGACTTTCCGCTGTTGTGGTACCCACAGTTGTTGTACTTTCTGCTGTTGTTGTCTCACTAGTGGTACTTTCAGGAGTTGTTGTGGCTGTGGTTGTACTTTCTGTTGTAGTAGTACCTACAGTTGTGGTCTCAGGGGTGGTGCTTTCTATTTTTGTGATCTCATTTGTGGTACTTTCCACTGTTGTGGTAACCACAGTTGTGGTGCTCTCGGTTGTTGTACTTTCTGGAGTTGTAGTGGCTGTGGTTGTTCTATCTGCTGTTGTGATCTCGCTTGTGGTACTTTTCGCTGTTGTGGTTTTGGTTGTTGTACTTTCTGGAGTTGTTGTGGCTGTACTTGTACTTTCTGTTGTAGTAGTACCTACAGTTGTGGTCTCAGGAGTGGTGCTTTCTGCTGTTGTGATTTTGCTTGTGGTACTTTCCGCTGTTGTGGTTCCCACAGTTGTAGTACTTTCCGCTGTTGTGGTACCCATAGTTGTGGTGCTTTCCACTGTTGTAGTACCCACAGTTGTGGTGCTCTCTGCTGTTGTAGTACTCTCAGTTGTTATACTTTCTGGAGTTGTTGTGGCTGTGGTTGAACTTTCTGTTGTAGAAGTACCTACAGTTGTGGTCTCAGGGGTGGGGATTTTTGTTATTGCGATCTCGCTTGTGGTACTTTCTGCTGTTGTGGTACCCACAGTTGTTGTGATACCCACAGTTGTGGTACTTTCCACAGTTGTGGTACTTTCCGCTGTTGTGGTACCCACAGTTGTCATACTTTCCGCTGTTGTGGTACCCGCACTTGTGGTGCTCTCTGCTGTTGTGGTCTCGGTTGTTGTACTTTCCGGAGTTGTTGTGGCTGTGGTTGCACTTTCTGTTGTGGTAGTACCTACAGTTGTGGTTTCAGGGGTGGTGCTTTGTGTTGTTGTGATCTCGCTTGTGGTACTTTCCGCTGTGGCTGTCGCTGTAGCTCTGGTATCCAGAGTTGTGTTGCTCTCTGCTGTTGTGGTCTCAGTTGTGGTACTTTCTGGAGTTTTTGTGCCTGTAGTCATACTTTCTGTTATAGTGCTTTCTGTTGTTTTAGTAGCCACCACAGTTGTGGTCTCAGTTTTGGTGTTTTCTACTTGTGTGGTCTCGATTCTGGCACTTTCAGGAGTTGTTGTGGCTGTGGTTGTACTTTCTGTTGTTGTGGTGCCCAGTGTTATGGTCTCACTTGTGGTGCTTTTTGCTGTTGTGATCTCGCCTGGGGTGCTTTCCGCTGTTGTGGTGCTCTCTGCTGTTCTGCTCTCAGTTGTGGTACTTTCTGGAGTTGTTGTGCCTGTAGTTGTACTTTCTGTTATAGTGTTTTCTGTTGTTGTAGTAGCCACCACAGTTGTGGTCTCAGTTGTGGTACTTTCTGCTGTTGTACTTTCTGTTGCTGTGGTGCTTTCTGTTGTAGTAGTACTCACAGCTGTGGTTTCAGGTGTGGTGCTTTCTGCTGTTGTGGTCTCAGTTGTGGTTCTTTCAGGAGTTGTTGTGGCTGTGGTTGTAATTTCTGTTGTTGTAGTATCTACTGTTGTGAACTCTCTTGTGGTACTTTCTGGTGTTGTGGTACCCACAGTTATGGTGCTTTCTGGAGTTGATGTGCCTCTAGTCATACTTTCTATTGTTGTAGTACTCTCTGTTGTTGTTGTTGTTGTTGTTGTTGTCAAATTTGTGGTCTCAAGTGGGAATCTTTCTACTGTTGTGGTCTCAGTTGTGGTACTTTCAGGAGTTGTTGTGCCTGTGGTCATACTTTCTGTTTTCGTAGTTCCCACAGTTTTTGTCTCTGGTGCGGTACTTTCTACTGTTGTGGTCTTACTTGTGGTACTCTCTGGTGTTTTGGTAACCACAGTTGTGGTATTTTCTGCTGTTGTGGGTTCGGCTGTTGTACTTTCTGGAGTTGTTGTACTGGTGGTCGTACTTTCTGTTTTTGTAGTACCCAGAGTTGTGGTCTCAGGCGTGGTGCTTTCTATTGTTGTGGTCTCAGTAATGTCCATGGTTGAGGTTTCTGTGGTTAACATTGTCTCCGGAGTGACAGTAGTATAGGTAGTGTTCCTTACATCTGAAAAATATTAATAAACTGTAAATCAAAAAAGCTACAATTATAACTTATGTAAACAAGGGAAGATGTAAATGTATTTACCTGCACAGTATGCCAAAGAGCAGAAATCTGGTTTCACAAACTCATAAACATAATAATTGCCAGGGCAGGCTTTGACTTTAATGGGATTGGATTGGAAATAGCAGCAGTTATTGCTCCAGTGACCGCAGACATCTCGAGTGACCATTCCATCCTCAACTGTTGGATGTCCTCCGCTCAGCCACAGAGGAGCATGAGTGCCACAGCTGTCCTGATCAACACATGTGTCTGGCATCTGAACGCTTTGACCCTGAATGAAGAGACGGTACCAGCCGTTCCAGCTGACCTCACAGTCACACATTATTTCAGATAAAAGTTGATTGTTGGTGGCTCTCCATGAATTATCCAGCGTATTGTAGCTTTGACAGGGGTCAACAGGGGGAGCTGTTGTGTGAAAAAAAAATCTGATTAAGTCGATTTCTACTAGTTATAGGCCTATACTATTTTACTATTGGATTAAAACAGTTTTTGTGTCTGAGGATCTCATTTAACATCATTTAACATTGACAAGGAAATGAGCAGTAGACCTTAAGTCCCATTGTACCGAAATGCTTACAAGCAGTTTGCCTTTTTATTTATTATAACTGACTTAATATTATTGCTTTTTCACATTTTTTAACCAATCTTAAAGTGCATATCTAGACTCAGGGGCATCACTATGCCCTTTTTAGGGCCAATTTCTACCCTGCTCTCCTAAAAATGTGAGATGAGCTCCGTGATCGCCTCAGTCCCCTTTTAAACTCATTTGAAAATGGCGGCATGCTTCAGCTCCTCCCATGTCTTTTAATCTGCATTATTTCACGTGTCCACAGTGTTGGCGTGCCAACACCAGAAGCAGAGGACAAGGTATGTGCATTTATTGATAGATTGTTATGATATCTGCATCTGCACCCATTAACATACTTTAGAAAATGTTAAATTCATTTGAACAATGTAATTTTTAAATTAAAATGGATTATTGTGGATGTGGCTTTAGATTAACATACAGTCATGCACAGGTTAAGGCTACTTACATTTTTATGTTAAACCAATAAATCAGTGTTACAGTGTGATTGTGTCTTTAAATTTTTAAAGACACAATCACACTGTAACACTGATTTATTGGTTTAACATAAAAATGTAAGTAGCCTTAACCTGGTTGCCTTAAAATGAGTTTTTTTAAAACCAAAAATCCCCCCTAATATTGAAATCCTAGAATCAAAACTCTTCATCCTCTTTGATGTGTTATTTTTAAAATTATTTTCCAAAACTGAACTACATATATATATATATATATATATATATATATATATATTTTTTACTAGTATAATTGTATAAATTAAAAAAAATGTATGGCAAGTTTTAAACACAAATAATTGACTGCTCTCATTCCATTTACGTCAGTATTTAGTAGATGCACCTTTAAAAACATTACAGTCTTGAGTCTGTGTGGGTAGGTCTCTATCAGCTTTTCACATCTGGCAACTGTAACTTTCCCCCTTTGCAGAACCATTCAAGGTCTGTCAGATTGCATGCATGGAGATTGGGATTTGACAGAGTTTTTTTCCAAGGCCACCCATACTGTAAATTGAGTGAAATCTGAACTCTGACTTGGTCACTCAATGACATTATTATTGTTGTTTTTCAGCCATTGGCTTGACATTTAGTGATTTGGAAACATTCTTGTATCCATACCTTGGATAGTAAAGCTACCAAAATAAAAAAAAATTTTCATGATGTAAATTATGTCAAATTATTGACTCACAAGCTACGATCAATTGAAATTCCCTGACTACGCACAAGTGTTCTTTAATACGTACTATTTATTATTTTTCACATTAAAGGGGGTGAATACTTAAAAAAAAATCAATTAGTTTGAATTTGTGATTTTAGGATTTTAAATGTACTCAAGCACATTTTTGGAATAATTCTACATTGCTCCAATTAATTTCCCCAGACCATTGAAAACAATGCATCTGCACTTATATTCTACAAACAACTCTCTAATAGTAATTATGCAAACCTGAATCAAAATCACATGCAGCTGCACATTACACACACACACTTTACATGCAGTCAAAAACTTGGATCTGGTCTGACTGCATAGGTTTGCTAATCTGAACAAAAACACTTCAGAAACATTTCAAAAACATCACATTACCAGTCGTAATAGAGACGGATGTCATTTCTATAGCTGAGGTTGAGATGGTATAGGTGATGTTGAGTTTCCTTACATCTGAAAAAAGTAAAATAAGATCAAAATTAAATCAACAAAAATGCAATTACTTAATTATGTAAAAAAAGAAAAAGAAAAATGTACATATATTTACCTGCACAGTAAGCCAAATAGCAGAAAGAGGGTTTCACAAACTCATAGACATAATAATCTCCTGGACAGGCTTTGACTTTAATGGGATTGGACTGAAAAGCGCAGCAGTTATTGTCATAGTGACCGCAGACATCTCGAGTGACCACTCCATCCTTAACTGTTGGATGTCCTCCCTTCAGCCACAGAGGAGCATGAGTGCCACAGCTGTCCTGATCAACACATGTGTCTGGCATCTGAACGCTCTGACCATCAAAAATGAGTCGGTACCAGCCGTCCCAGCTGACCTCACAGTCACACATTATTTGAGAGGGATATTGATTGTTGGTGGCTCTCCATGAATCATTCAGGTAAGTGAAGCTGTTGCAGGGGTCTGCGGTTATGGAAACATTAAAATAATGTTTGTAAATATGTGTAAATTCATATTTCAGTGCTGCATACCATTTAAAATTAGATTAAGAATTAAGAATCTCTTTTCTTTTAGCTGTGACCAAGGGGATATAAACAGCAGTGGCGGAGCCAGGGGGTGGCCAGGGGTGGCCATGGCCACCCTTGGCTTAAGCTTGGCCACCCCTTTGGCCACCCCTCTCACAACTGCCGTTTCTGTCTGTCTCTTTTTTTTCTTTCCTTTTTTTACAAGAATTGCGTTTTTAAAACACAGAACATCTTACGTCCACAATAAACGTGAGACTTTTCAGACGCGCGCGCACTCCAACTTCACCTCAGCGCAAGTCAAACGAGTGCGGAAATGTACAGGTGCCGAATAAGCTTCAGCAGTGATCGGAGCATAGTAAATATAGAGTCGATGTTCCTGAACTGGTGGGTTGCAAGATCGTTTTGAGTGAGTCGCATATGTCCAGTCAAAGAAACAACAACGTAATTCTCTTTTTTTCTGGTTCTACTTTTATTTTGAAAGATCTGTGTGAAAGCTTGTGGCAGTTCTGTCAGATGCGGAGAAAAGCGCGTTGTCCTGAATCAGTTGGCTAATGTCAGTTAAACTAACTTTTTACTGTCCTGTCAGACGTTGTACTGTAGCCTACTTGCACATCACGCGTAAATGTGGCGTGCTGTAGCCGTAGTTCTGTCGTCAATTAACTCATGAAATAATCAAAAAGGCGATCAAATCTGTGTCAAAACTGCATGCTTGTATGTATTTGTTATATATGCGTCACATATGTCTAGACTAAAATATTCTGCCATGTTTAAGGCACAAACTGATAGGCTATGTGTTTTTTTAATGTACAAATAAATGTGAGCACTGTGCATTTGTACTAGAAGATAGGCGGCAATTTTGCGTTCATTTGTAAAGGACAAAATAAAATGCATAATTTTTAAATCCATAAAATAACTAATTTTACATTCTGCCATTTATGTGCATGTTGACTTCCGCCTTGTTCACATTCTCGCACATAGCGATTCAAAAGAGATGTTTCCCCCCTTTTTAATTAGGTATGATAGAACGGTTTAGATTCTTTATTTTGACTACTAATATAGAAAGTTGAAGAGTTAATTGATTATATAAAATTCAATGAAGGGTATTATCTTTGAACTACAGTAGTTATCTGCATGTCTCATCCATGAAGGTGCAACAATGTTGGGGGTTTTGAGAACCAGAACCATGCTAACTGAGCAAGTTTACTATATGATTAAAGAACTTTAGCTATAGTTTGTGTCCCCTTCATTAATATGCCTGGAGGTGGTAAGTAGCTAATAATAATTAAAAAAAAATCTAATTCACTCAGTATTCCACGATTCCTAATTCACTACTCTCTCAATTACAATTGAATACAAATGAACTGTATTCAGTTGTGTAGGAACAGTCCAATACATTATTTAAACTAAGTATTATGTTAAAATAATTAAGATTTATGTGCCACCCCAGACTGTTTGCTGGCCCCTACCTGGCCACCCCTATGAAAAAATCCTGGCTCCGCCACTGATAAACAGCCTAACATTTAAGTATTGATAAGTTTTGTAATGTGTTGGTTGCCTAATGTTTTAAAGTATTGAAATGTGGAATGTGTATCTCATGATGTCAACTGTGACAGAATGATTGACAGGCCGGTTTGTGGTGACATGATGCACACACCTACACTGTGGTTTTCAAGATGAAATTCCATGACGCAGTATACATCCCTTTAGATGCGTATGAACCATATTGTGACATGCATGCTCAAAAAATATGTACAGTACTTTCTTATGACAAACAGTACATACTTTTAGGCCATAGTTTTAGGGCAAATTGCAACACAGCACATGTTTTTTTCATGATCCGTGCATTTATCTGAGACTTAAATGATTGCACTTTTCAATAAATTAAGTAGTGGGGAACTTCTGATTCCATTTATAGTTTTTCCTCAATCTTTTTTTTACATTTCTTCAGACTAAGGTTCTTGCTCTTTGAAACTATTAATACAGTGATCCAATAAGACTCTTACTTTAGCCAACAATTTAGACAAAGTTGGTAATTAAAAGTGTCTCTGTACTATTGAAATAATAGATAATAGATAATAGAATAATAGACTTTGTTTGTCTAATAGAAAGCTAGAGATAGAAAGGGGAAGCAGTATTAAAACTGGTGAAGATGAAGTGTACGTATAGTGTTATTATAAGATGAATGGAAAGAATTACCTGATTGTCCATCAATTATTTTACCTTTAAAACAAACAAATAAAAAACATAAGAACAATGGTTTCATTTTGAAAGATGATACAGTCAGTTCACTTATTTGAATATACTGTAGCATCATTCCAGCCACATGTGTGTAAAAACACTCACCAAACAGCAATATTGAAACACACAATGAGAATAGAAAACTCATTGTAATAAACGACGCCTCCTGCACCTGCACACATGAACATAAACATGTGAAATATGTGTTTCTATATTTATTGTATTAAATTTAGTGTTGTCAGCACTTGGAAAAACAACTTAATAAAAAGCCTTCATTTGTTAATTACGTTAGTTAACATAAACTAACAATGAACAACACTTGTACAGTATTTCTTAATCGGTATCACTTTACAATAAGGTTCATTAGTTAACATAATTTAATGTATTAACTAACATGAAGTAACAATGAGCAATACATTTGTCACATTTATTAATCTGTGTTAATATTAGTTAATATAAATACAACTGTTCATTGTTTGTTCATGTTAGTTCACAGTGCATTAACTAATGTTAACAAATACAACCTTTGATTTTAATAATGTATTAGTAAATGTTGAAATTAACATGAACTAAGATGAATTAATGCTGTAGAAGTACTGTTCATTCTTAGTTCATGTTAACTAAGGTATTTAACTAATGTTAACTAATGAACCTTATTGTATTACCTCTTAATCTTTCTTAATCTTATGATTTTTTTTACAAATATATTATTATGGTGTAAAATTATTCATTGTTACTTTGTGTTAGTTGACGCATTGACTAATTTGAACAAATTATTGTAAAGTGTTACCAAAACTACAAAATAATTCAGATTTACCAAAAGCAGATTACTGACAGAGTAATTACAGCTCAAAGTGATCAAATGAACTTATAGTGACAGTACCTGATACAAAATGTTGCTTCACAAACTCCAAAACACAGTGACGCTTAGTTAATCCAGTTGCAGAACACAATGATAAATGAACTACAAGCCTCACAGTCTTATGACTGTATTAAGTGTGGGTGGACCTTTTCTAGATGGGTTGACAACTCTAACAATACCCCACCTCCAAAAACAACATTTCTTTCCCCATGTTGCATGACGCCAGTGTTTCTTTGTACACCTGTTAGTCAGAAACACATTTTTTAGTCTTGAATAGATGAACGTAGATAGAACAACAAAGACAATCAAATGAATCTGAATTATGAGGATACTTGTTCCCAAAATCATTACAGTCTCTTTTACACATTTAGTCAAACTAAGGTCAGTCTTCTCAAAACAGTTAACAGATCCACTTGAAAAGTTTGTAATCTTCCTAAACATTATTGTAAATATTTGATGGTTTAATACAAATTACATACAATAATTTAATTTAATTTTAATTGTACACAAATTTCTCCTATCCAAGATTCAATTGTTAACACAGGCAACTACAATTAAGCCATATTTCCACAGATGACATTGTATGAAACTAGTCAGACAACAATTATGATTTCCCTTTATGTACATAAGTTACCAGAAGAAAAATAAGAGGAAGAAGTGCAATTGGCAGAACAAGAGGAGAAGAAAGAGTTGATAAGGAGATGTAGCCTATAAAAAGGAGAGGAAGAAGAGCATTGGAAGAGAGAGATGATGTGTTGAAGAATTGGAGAGAAGAGATAGAGAGGGTTCAAACGAGTTCCTCTAACTTATGAATCAGCGATCAGAGGATCCCAAATCACACAAGACCTGATTTTATACAGTACACGACTCATCCTCTGTTTTATTAAATGTGTTATTGATAAGAATACTATGCTTACATTTACTACATTATGCGGTGAACCTGAACTTTTTGCTGTATGTTTCTGTATTCATTGTTTTTGAGATCATTCAACTTAGTTTTGGAGAATTTGTGTAAAATCAGTTGAGAAACAACTTTTTATGACGTTATAAAACCATAATGACAAATTGCTTTGAGTTGAAATCATGCTGTTCAGCGTTAGGATCATAGTGGTTTGTGAGTAAAATTAAATTCCCAGATTCAATCTCCCTGTAATCATTTTCTTTTATAAACAACGGCCTGGAAAATGTTACATGAATTAAAGACCCATTGTGATACTGTTGTCAATTTCAATGACTATACTAGCAAATTAATATGGAATTATGAATCATGGGTGGATCAGTGCCCTGTTGCTCTTTTGTGGCCTCGCCCGTGATATACAGTGGCAACATTATGACGTGCATGCATGTGTAATATGGTATTTTTGTGTCTCTTTTTACTTTCAAGCTATTTTAAGAATACTGGCAGCTTTGACTGGGAGAAGCAGCCGTCAGTCGGGCGGATCAAAGCCTGCGCAGCCGTACGCAGACACACCTGTGAATCTGGGCAATAACTGAACCTCACCCTAACTGAACCTTCTGAAAGACAAGTGCAACCAGTGCTGCAACATTCTGCGGATCCTTTACAAAATTGTCACACACATTTGACGCAAATAAGTATCAGTATCATCACTATGAAACTTAAAACAATTGCACAGATGGTAATACAAATATCACATTTATCTCAATAGGGTAATAAATGTTATATTACTCAAAAACAAAAGGGAAATAGACAGATTATGAAGCCTCCCCCGCCCCCTCCCTTTATTTCATATTTGAACAATAATGATTCTGATGGCTTTTTTTTCTTTTATGTAAAGATTCATTTATTACATTATACATGATGCAAATCAAAATTAAATAGCTAATATTTTTATGCTAGTAGGTGAGCACATAACATTCATAAAAAAATAAGATAAAAATACATTTTGGAGCAAGGAACTAGTCACTTCATTATTCATAAAAAAAATGTATTAATATAAATCACAATACAGTTTATACACACACGTGAAGAGAGAATCAGTGGCGCCCCCATGTGGTCACGGCGATCATGCTCTGATGACGCAGCAGATTAGATCTGTGCGCGGGCATGATGCTATAAAAACTAAAACAAATGATGCCATAAATACTGATACAGTAATTTATTCGTTCTCTATTTTTAAACCAGATTGTCACCAAATCTTGCTCTACTGTTTATTGGGCTACATTTGTTAATGACCTCGATTGGGAAAGTGTTTGGTTATTGCCTCATACGTTTTTTTTTTTTTTGTTACAAACAAGGTGAAAGAAATTTCTTTCAAGATAGGCTACTCTGTCAAACATTTCCTTAGTAAGTTAAGAAAGACATTGATGTTAGCTGCTCTTTTTGCTCTCTGCTGATGCCGAAAATGCCCAGGCTGTAGAAAGAACCAAAGTTAATCCCAAAAGCCAAAGCTCAGGGTTATTATTTATTATTTTCTTCTTATTTATGTTTACTTTAATATTCACTTACTTAATAATATTCACTTATTATCTTAACATTCTATAGAAAATACTCTATTCAATAAATATTGTGTGTTTGAACCTCATTCTGTTCTATATTGTTGTACTTATTATTTGACTGTTTTGTTTAAAGGGGGGAGGATGGGAGTGCTGAAGTGTCAGGTGTGACTGTGGCAATGGCAAATGGTTTACATAGCTCACGACATCAGAGGGCCCCTTAGCAGAATTTTGCTTAGGGCCACAGGGAGGTCAGGATCGGCACTGGGTGTAGCAGTCGATTCTGTTCCTTACCGGAATTCCTGTTCCCTTTACGCAATCATACTACAAATCATGCGTAGTTGCCCAGATGAGCAAAAAGCACAATTGAATGTACGGGAAGCCAAAAGGTTAAAAAAGGATTGTATTTTTTCCGAAATCTAAGCGTTTTATTTTATTTTATTAGAAGCGAGTTTTTCCCCATCTGTCAATTCAATCCAGATTATTTATTTAAAAAAATAAAAATAATAATAATTAAAAAACAATAAACAATAATATGAGGAACTCTTTTTCTCATGTGTATTTTGGTGACATTTAACATATTGTTAATACATTTTGTATACTGTTTACAAAGTTGTATATCATAAACCTGTCATCTTTGACGTTTGCAATCTTTATAAATAATAATAAGACCATAATATGAGGCATTGCGTTTGGAAATAAACACGATCAGATAAGGCAATTTGTATGGGCAAAATTCAACTGAATATATTCCTTCATATAGCCCGTGAGTTTTGGGGGTAGTGCCAGGGACGTGCACAGGAATTTTGTGGGGCAGTTGCTCTGACCTGAAAAAAGGGCACTACCCCCAAAACTCACGGGCTATATGAAGGAATATATTCAGTTGAATTTTGCCCATACAAATTGCCTTATCTGATCCTGTTTATGTCCAAACGCAATGCCTCATATTATGGTCTTATTATTATTTATAAAGATTGCAAATATCAAAGATGACAGGTTTATGATATACAACTTTGTAAACAGTATACAAAATGTATTAACAATATGTTAAATGTCACCAAAATACACATGAGAAAAAGAGTTCCTCATATTATTGTTTATTGTTTTTTAATTATTATTATTATTATTATTATTTATTTTTTTTAAATAAATAATCTGGATTGAATTGACAGATGGGGAAAAACTCGCTTCTAATAAAAAAAATAAAAAAACGCTTAGATTTCGGAAAAAATACAATCCTTTTTTAACCTTTTGGCTTCCCGTACATTCAATTGTGCTTTTTGCTCATCTGGGCAACTACGCATGATTTGTAGTATGATTGCGTAAAGGGAACAGGAATTCCGGTAAGGAACAGAATCGACTGCTACACCCAGTGCCGATCCTGACCTCCCTGGGGCCCTAAGCAAAATTCTGCTAAGGGCCCTCTACCTGACCTGTGATGTCGTGAGCTATGTAAACCATTTGCCATTGCCACAGTCACACCTGACACTTAAGCGCTCCCAACACAATCCTCCCTCCTTTAAACAAAACCGTCAAAGAATAAGTACAAAAATATAGAACAGAATGAGGTTCAAACACACAATATTTATTGAATAGAGTATTTTCTATAGAATGTTAAGATAATAAGTGAATATTATTAAGTAGGTGAATATTAACGTAAACATAAATAAGAAGAAAATAATAAATTATAACCCTGAGCTTTGGCTTTTGGGATTAACTTTGGTTCTTTCTACATGGGCATTTTCGGCATCAGTATGATTTTTTAATTTTTTATTATGCATGTTGAAGCAATTCTTGATTTATGGTTATCATTTACTGAGGGATGTGCATCCATTTTGACCAGTATGTCCAGCTAATCAACATTTTTAATTCAATATAGCCTATAAATCAATAGTCAATCAATGTCAAATTGTCAATACATTGCTTTCTATCTTGCATAATTAGTGCAGTTGTTTAGAGTTTTTAACTACACTGAGACTAGATAATCAGTGTCTTGTTTTATAATGTGTACTTTGATTGGGAGTGCCATCATTCACGTGCATGTATTGTACAGTATGTCTGGTCTCCACATATTTCTGCTTGAAAAATGCGAGTTTCATTCGTGCACGCGCACATGAACGCACGATAACACACGCGACGCGGTTATGTTTTCCGAGCTGCAGTAAACAAACACTGTTGCACTTTGTCAAAATCAAAGGTAATAAATAATTGTATTTTACTCTCACTTTTGTCAGCCACAAAGTGATGCAAGAGATGCACTGCCTGCCCAGCTAGGTTTTAGCAAGACCGAAAAACATCAAACTTTGCTGACATCAAACTTAGAGAGGAGAGAACACAAGTTTACCTGATTGTTGTTCCCGCGATTCACTCTCATGGTTTTTTTCTTCTTCCTCTTTTCGTGACCAGAAGGATAGTTTCGCTTCATTTTGTCGTGGATGTTGTAGCTACACATTTGACGGCGCGCTATCACTATGACACGAGATGGAGGCGTGGCCAGTAATTTGCGTGGCCCTACGCCGGTCGCGTGCAGCGTTTGCCCTTCATACTGACTTTCACTTTCGGTGCCCGAATGGAAGTGAATGAGGCTTTGCGATTTTTTTTTTTTAATCTAGGCCTACGTGAAA